GTCACGGTTGACAGTCAACCGTGACCATGGGACCTGTAAAGGGCCCGAAACGTCGGTTTGTTTGAAAAAACAAATATACGCGATTTAAATCCGGAAAAATAGTTTCATTCCTATGTAAAACAATCGCGAAAACCTAAGAACTCGATATGTTTTGTTTTGTACATTTTTTTTTTCTAATTCTTTTTATCAATTTCCCAAAATACATAGTTTGCTTCGTAGATATATCACATTTTATTATTAAGGTGCCAAATACCTACACTTTCTATCGGGTACTAATCCGCATTGGTGAGCATCTTAATTTTTTTTAATTTTATTCTACAAAGGGCGAAAATAATAAGCAAATTATTCGAGTACACATTTATGAATAATTCAATATTTTAAAGTGTTATTGTCCTGACATTGGCGCTGAAATCAATAAAGGTGTTTCGGCAAACCATCTGCCACCTAAAAAAAATGTAATATGTAAAATAATATCTTGTGAGTTTTTTCCCCGCTGCGTAGATCCCCACTGCGTAGCAAGTAGTGCTTACGTTAGTGGAGATTTGTGGAATAAAATTGAACAAAATTTTAAATTTTAATTTTACCAGTAAGAATTTTGTACCGCAATTTTTGTAAAAGTTTTACAAGATCATAGTAAAAATTGTGGAACAAAATTCAGTGTACTCAAAGATATTATCGTATATATTATTAAACGTACTTTTTGCAAAGACATTACTTTTGAAATTCATAGGCTTTCTAATTCCCAATATAATACATGTTTGTATATTATGAAATCTAGACGCAGGTAAACAATTCTACTGCTAACTTGTATCTGTCCTGGATAATTGCATTTTTTGCGAAACCCCTCAATCAGGTTTACAATTTGTTATGCTCGTATTTTTTATACCTAATCAATAAATAAATGTACATCAATATACAACTTCCAATAAGGATTTATTTTTTAAACTTCTTTTACTTTCGCTATTATTTAATGTAACCGAGGAAACGATATACGGTACAAAGCATTGTCTTCTACGACAATTTGAAAAGACTTGCGTATTGCAGGTAAACTAAAAGCAGTAACACTGCTACACCCAAATGTTGGGGTATAAATTTGAATTTCATGTTTCCATAAACAATATCCGATATCAATAAAAATTCTCGTCAAATATTTTATATACTATAAGAGGTGTCAATGTTAAGCAGCTTTACTAGCTGCGGCTTCCAAATCTTTTATGGCCTTATTCAAAGCCTCTTGCTCGAATTCTGGTGTGATGGCTTTGTGAACTTCTTTTAAAATCCAATTAATCATCCACTTCTGATGTATTCGGGCTTCTGAATAGTATCTTTTCATATGGTAATCCATGCGACCTTTGACCATGTGATACGCGTGCATCATTCGCTCGCGGTACACGGCCTCCAGTTGCATCAAGACATTTTCTTTCTTCGCTGCTATCAATAGTTGTTGACCCTCTGCTCTCCATACAGCGTCGTTGGCCTCTTTGACAACTGATTCGTAATGAGCAATCTCTGCTTTACGACCTTTGTACATGTTGTCTACAATATCATCTACTTCTTTGTCCAAACTAGCACCTATGCCAGGGCCAAGTTTTGTGGTGACGTAATACAACATCAGAAAAATAGACAGACCTGCATAGTATTCGTGTTCCATGACAAATATCTCTTTGCTGAGGGCATAATTTGTTAATACAAACAAAAGGACATATCCACCGGATACACCGGTCTTGACGTGAAAAAATGTAAACCACTCTGCAGGTATGACGGCCAGTTTTACTGGAGCACATCTTTCCGCCCGCTTCTTGCCGGTGCCAAAGCCGCCGCCATCATCACTACGCTGTGCAGGGCAAGACTGACTATGAACTAAACAAGGGCGTACGAATAAATTAACTAGCTTACGTCTTAACAAAGTAGCCCTCATTGCAGTCAATGATGAGGCCGCGTTTCCTAGTGTTGAATACATATTTGAAGTAGTAAATTATTGTAATTTGGAAAATAGCATATTTTGTTTAATCATGTTGCCATCAATCACTTGAGACTTTGTTTCAATATTGACTTCTAAGTGACATTGACAAACGTCGATCATGAGTGAAATTCCTATTGAAAAGAGATTACGTGCTCATTTTGTTGTTTAATATTATAGTTATTAATAGCGAAGAATAATAAAATAAGTTAAAAAAAATGGATTTACGACCAGACCAAGACCGGTCTGAAGGGAATCCAAGTGAAGGAGCGAAAAAGTCTTGCCCTTGTAGTAAGCGACAGTAACACAGTATTATCTCAAAAATTGCGTCATATTCAACGATATTTATATATATCATGTTATAACATGACATATAACATAACACAAAAATATATTGTAATAAAAATGTATGTTATATTACATTTTATCTCAAAAAATGCAATAAATGTATGTTAGTCGTATAGTCAATGATTTAATTTCAAAGTGACAGGACAATAACATCGAGTTGCAGTGCCATCCAGAGCTTTAAAGTCGCAAGGCCTTGGGGGACCACCACTGCGCCTGGTCCTCTGAGACATAAATTTGTATAAGTGTTTATATAATCATAATTTGTATAATTTGTGTAAGTCCTATAGCTTCATCAGCACCCTGACCCTTCAAAACCGGAACGCTGTAATGCTCACACTACTCCATGAATGCAGAAATAATTAAGGTGGTAGTACATCACAGAACAACTCTACTGATACTATTTGCCGATTTTATTTTGATTTCGAGGTTGCAAATATTCCCTTTCCAATATATTCCATAGGGTAAAAAATACTAATACATTATATACATTATAATGATACATTATAACGATATATATATATATATATATATATATATATTATATACATTTCGTTGTGTATCTAAATATATACCAAACACATTTTTAAAAATTAATCAAGTATATTTGAAAAATTCATTATTATAAAAGTTTTCAATTAGTATAATTCACAGCATTATATTATGTAAATATCTAAACATGTTAATTGGTTTCAAAATAATGGATAATTGAACTGTGCTATAATTAATAACTTAACATTTGTATTAAAATTAATGAAACTGTAGGCAATTATTTAAAGACGGTATTTGGCGGCGCGCAAAATCGGGTACTTGTCACCAGTGCAAAGACCACGGAAGTCGTCCATGGAAAGATCCACGATAGAAATTCCACCAAGGTTCTTGGATCTGTAAAAGACACATGAATAACATGATAAACTGCAAGAAATTTAAACCGTACGAATTTTTTTTATATACATAACATCAAGTGACGGGACGAACAAGTAACGCGCCAGTTCGTAACAGTTACAGTGCCACCAAGAGCTTTAAATTGCAAAGATCTGAGGGGCACTACCATTGCGCCCGTCACTCTGGGACAAGTCCCATGTGCCTGTAATATCACCAGCACCCTTCCCTTTCAAAACTGAATCACAATAATGCTGACATTACTGCTTGGCGGCAGAAATAGGTAAGGTGGCACTACTACCCTGGATGAACTCGTTCACAAGGAGCTGCACTAACATAACGCTACTAAAAATCTACACAGACAAGTCATTTTTAACCGCAGACACAAAAAGACGGAGGTTTTAAGTTTGTACGATCGACTTCAATTTTTGTATACTATGGAAATCCAATGACATCACAATAATATGGTAATCGATCTGATGCTGCAACCAGGACAGTCTGCACACTACCCAATTCCCCAACCTTTTAAAGTAGACTCGTTGTTTCGAAATTGTAAAGAACTGACTTTCTTTAGGCAAACGACTTTGCTTAACTGTCTATTTTTTTAACATTCTTTTATTCATTTATATTGTAATATTCGATCATTCATTCAATTAATAACAATAATAACGCATACACTCCACATAGCCCCGCACTAGGGAAACCCTGAGCCGCGGGTGCCATGGACACACACATAGACAACCACAAATCACACGCAAACTCACGAGAGAAATAAATGTAGGCCACACAAATATTTCTCGCAGCCCGGGAATCGAATCTAGGACCTCTGCGTGGTAGTCGATAATGGTAACCGTTCGGCTACGGTGGCAATTGTCTTAATGCTATCACTAAATTATCATTTCTTGGCTTGCACCTATGTCGCGTCTAAGCATCGGAAAAGGCTCTGGCATTGGCATATATGGGGGCTACTAAACATTTGGTGAGACACTTACTTGACGAAACTAGCTTTCTGCCCAGCGGTTTCCGGGTCCTCGTAGCTCACCCAGAGTCCGGGCTCACCCTTATCATCATTTGTGCGGAAAGCATAGGTTCCTGTAAATACAAAATCAGTATTATATAAAGAACTATAAGTGTAAACCAAGTGTTCAGTTCTCAGGTGCAGATCTGTGGCTATAGACGCCTGTGTTTCAAGTATTGTTTTGTTTGCAAAGCGTGATATTATTAAGAAACCACACTGCATGTGTAGCTATTTTTAAATAAATAATAATGAGCACATATGACCATTGAACTCTACTGCCTTATTATTTGTTCTAGCATACTTAATACAAAAGTAAATAAATACATAGAAAAAAAACAAAAATAAATAATGGTTACCTACAAATACGTATGATTCTTTATTTTGTGTACATGTACGTGTACTTCAACTCATGCCTAGTGGTGTACCTGAAGTTATTCTTTTTTTTGGCGCTCTATTTTTTATAAATAAAAAATAAATAAAATGTGACGTAATAAGTACTGAGGTTACTTTGGCAAACAAATATTAAATAATTCTGTTCACATATTTCTTATTTTGACCATCAAATTTGTTAACATATTTTTCCTCTCTCTGCATTTTAGTAATTGTCAGATCAGTTTTTCTCTAACTCATTTCGATGGCAATTTCTATTATTGAAATATTGTAGAATATTGAACTATAATTTAATATTCGAGTGTAGTAACCTAAAATATTATTTAATATTTTACAATAATTGGGATATTTAAATAATAAAAATTGCCACCGAAATTAGGTATAAAGAAAACTAACCCGAAAATACCCTAAAAACATATTTTTTGTATAAAACACCCAAAGAGGTCATATTTAGAGACATCTGTACGTTTTTCTTTTGTGTGCCAAAAGCAAGATTAGCAATATTCAATTAATAAAAGTTGGTGCCTCTGAACCCTGCCCATATTAAGCAGTACTGCTAGAGACAAGGCGAAAGCAGCTAACAATGAGTACCAACCAAAAATTAGGGACAAATCTGCGTCCTTGGTTAAGCGAGACTCTGAAAATTGAAATGTTGCTGCTAGTACCATAATCTACTAGTACACATCATAGAATATTGCATCTTAGAATATTGAATCTTACCGAAGCGCTGGCTGGGATCGGTGACCTTCCTGAGATGAGGTTTCATTCCCCTCTGATGATTTGGATTGATCAGCTTAGCGCAAACTTCAGGGTAGCTCAACAGACCTTCAGTCCGAGTGTAAGGACCTAGTGACACACAAACATATAGTCATAAGTCGAAAATTTTAAGTGCCAGAGCTAAGGTTCGAAATATAGTATTTAAAATTTTAACCGACTTTAAAGAAGGAGGAGGTTCTGCATTTGACTACATTTTTTATATGTTACGCGATTACTCCGACATTTGTGAACTGATTTCGATTTTTTTTGCTGGAAAGTGGTATCTTAACAGTTTACGGCTGAATTTATAGTTTGACGGACGGAAATGGAAGCGAATTTTTGTAACAATATCGTACAGAACTTAATGAACTGAATGTTCAATTCTGTAACGTACAAACTAAATATAAGCCAAAATCTTCCGCGGAATGCGCGAGCATTATATTATGTACAATATCGTTACAAACATTTGCTTCCTTTCCGTTCCGCCGCAATATAAATTGAGCCTAACGGTGGCAAATTAAGAGATGAATCCAGTTTATTGAATTTCATTCACTTTCCGTTAATCGATTTCAATACAACTTGGCAGTTATATGTAATTCCAATGAAAGTAAAAAAATTATGGCGACCCAGAGCTAATCTGATGGAAATGGCAGACAGATGAGAGAAACTCCTCAACAGTGTACAGCAGCTACGTTGTGTTAGGGTTAATCATATATGTAATTCGTTTTGATGAGGACTTAAGTATTATGCGATAAACAGTTATTGTTGAGGATGCTACGGTAATGAACACAGCGAAAACGGAATTTACTTTTGAGCTCGGCCTTTTTTTTAATAATATTGTTGTAATTATTATATACAAATACATTTCACAGTTTAACCGAGGTGATAATGATTTGTATATATACTTACGGTAAGTAAGCATATTTTATTTAAAAATAAATTCTGAGTAGGTATAGAAACGAAAATGCCTTACCAGCTTCTCCAGGACCGTCAACTTGTATTGGTGGGACACCAGATATTTCACTCTCAGAGTCCATTTTCCAGGTGCGGGCAAAGGTGGCAATACCCAGCACGATCTTGTTCGAAGGCGCTCCAGCTTGAGTCCTGACAGAAAAAAAATTTAAATATTTTAGACGTGGTTCTATAGAAGTGCTGTAGACTTTTCGTATTTTGTTTTGTTTCCTAGATGCAAAGTCTAGTGATGGGACATGTTATGAATTTTAACCTTATACAATGTGTTGATTTGCACTTTCGCCATATTTACAGAGGTTATTCTACATATATCCGAAACTGAACCTAAATCACAGAAAAATCCCAATCCAACGTAATCATCTTATCCAAAGGTCATGGAACTTTTGCACGGCATGTGCTATCACACAGCGGACCGACTATCTTACTCTCTTTTTATCTCCTTCTCCAACGCAAGCGGGCGCCTAATCAATCAGTCGCGCGTGGTTTGAGAGATGTTTGGTGTTCACCAGAACTGTATTACCAACAAGGTAGCGCTCTTTCTGATTATATACGGCAAATGTGTGACTAATGGGGCGATATGAAACGTTTCGTTTACACGGAGAAGATTACCGAGTGTCGAACAATTCCGCGCATAAACCGTCGCCGCTTTCAAACTTGTGAAGTCAAATGTATTAAAACTCAGAAACTTGAAACGAAACTCTCGACAACGTGCGAATTTTTGCAAAGCCAGTCACACTGTTGGTTGGTGGACAATTCTAGCACTTCTTCCTTCGAGTAGGTACGTAAGCCGCCGAGTGGCGGAGCACTCGATTCGTGCTTGCTTGGGCCCCGTCGAGGTTACTGCCCGGGCGCGATTCATAAGATTTTGCAAAACTTTATTAGATACAATTAGTCAGAATATTGAACATAATACTTTTTATTCATATTATTATTTTTAATTTTACATATTATTATTTCTTAAGTATGGCGACAATGCAAATCAACATACTATTGTATTAATGCAATTCTCATAAGTTAAAGAAAAAACATAACTGAACACAAAACAAATAACAAGTTTTTATTGACGCTTTAAAGCGTAAACTCAATGTTATTTATTATTATTGATACAAATATCTAACAATAACAAAGACCGAAGAAATACAAAGAAAAATTTCTTCGATCCGAGTGGACTCGAAACGGTGTATGTTGCCTCACCGTGGCTACAGCTCTTACCAATTGAACTACGAAATGAGCTAGCAGATCTTACGATTTTTTTTATGTGCTTGTTGCGGATAAAGATCATAAAGGTGTTGGGTTTAAACGTAGCCACGTTGTGACTAGAGATACTGGTGCGAGTACAGTTGGATCGATGGAATTTTTCTTTGTATTTTTTCGGTCTTTGTATGAATAATAATTGCAAACTAGAGGGATATTTTCACATAAAAAAGATGAATAACATGGTAGTAACATGATATTTAATCAAAATAAATCGCACATGAAACTAAACACTGTCCTAACTCAAAATTGTGGAATTGAGAAAACATAATTTGCAAATGAAGTTTTTGCTTTCTTGTGCGAAATAATGTAATGTATTCTAAGAAATAATGAAGCCAAATGTAGCCAAAGCACATGGCTACGTTGCAATTGGATATAAAATGTGTTTTATATCAAGAATGAGACACAACTTAAAATTGTTAGGCTCTGGCCAACCTCTGCAATGTCTAAGTATTATTTATTAGGTACTGATTATATGATTTTATTGGGTGATCTGCGTTCGTTGACATTTTATTTCCAATGTAAATAGAGTTGTAGACGTATTTTTAACCGACTTCAAAAAAGGAGGAGGTTTTCAATTAGAGCGTATATTTTTTCTTATTTCTTTTTTGTATGTATGTTACGCGATAACTCCGGTATTTGTGAACCGATTTTCATAATTCTTTTTTGTTGGAAAGGGGGTACTTCCACAGTGGTTCCATTTCATTTTGAAGAAAATCATCCACCTCTAAAGGCGGCTGTTCACGCATGAAAATTCATTTTTATAAATAGCGCCTAACTTTAATTTAGGAGCAATTATTTTAATCGTTGATTTTGCTATTTCTCCAATTCAAGGCGTTTTTCTCTCAACATACTTTGAGTAGTGAGAACCAATTTCTATTATCTCCAGTGTCAAGTTCTGTATAGTGGCGAACTAGGGGATATTTCAGTAAAACTTAGCAAATAGATGTAATTCCATGTACGTTTGTGGTCGGTTTTTTTTAGTACTCTGTACTGAGATTATTAATTTACAGTTTTTGTTTTTTTATATTCAGCAACTTTAGGATTCATCAACACTAAAGTGCCTTGCAGTTAACCAACTCTGGTAATATAAAATTCAATTTATATTTTTTAAATTCCACACTAACCAGTAAGAGACTGCCGCGTCTACATTTTGAAGAGGATTGCGATTCTGAGGAGTGTAGATTGGAGCTGTGTAGTCGGCCTCTTTAGGGTTACGCTCCGGCGTAAAGTAGTCAAAAGCGTCGACGTTAACAAAGTCCACCAGGTTGATGATGGAAGGAACGTCGTAGTAGACTGTAAATGAAATAATCACTTAAATTGGATCCTAATTGCCAATTAAGATCTCGCTACGAACCACACGAGTCATTTAAGTACACCTACCTGCACAAATATGTCCTAAAAATGCCTTTGTTAGCGTAATTAACTCATATGTCGCAAAGATTTAAATTAAGCTCAATAGATACACAACAGTCCATAATAAATGTATGCAGTTCTATAAAACAATCGGGCTTTAATAAGATACCTACTACACAATCATTGTGTACTATTATAATACCCACCAATAGTCACAGGCCCTTAACACTGAAGCCAGAGGGGAAAACAATATAAACTTGGTAAATAAGGTAATTACTATTCTCGCACTCTTTTACATCCCTATGAGTACGTGATCAATATATTTAGTTACTTAGAATTTTAGTTACTATAGATATACATTTGTGCATAATAATCGAGAATGTGCTCTGAAATCATTGGAATGAAAGTCACATAATTTGATATCTTTAGCAAAAAGACTCAGTAACTATTATAATGTTTGTGCCGAAGTTAATCATCACACAAATTCCGTACCTCATCCATAATCTGTAATTCAGCTTTCCCAGCACTTCCATTGGCTAAAGCCATTAATATTAAAAATTAAAAATACCATTACACAATATGCAAAAATACAACTGCGAAGAAATTCGGAAAGGTTAAGAAACAAACGGTTCCATTATACCAAATGAGTTTTGTTTTATGAGCATTTAATAGTAGTTTATCTACACACATACTAAACCTCCATAATACCGCAAATTACGACAAGCACAAGGTAAACTGTTTTGTTAAAACAAATTTTTCGTGTCTGTGAAAATGTTATTATTGCTTCAATTCGATTTTATTATTACATTAAAATTTCGAACATCATGAAAAACAAAACAATTTGATTGGACCTCAATTCTAATATCAGTCGAGATGAAGTTATATTCGAAATGAAATGTCAATAGCAAACAATTTTGACAATTTCACACGTTACTTGATATCGAATTATATGATGGTTGGGGCCGATTCTAGTTTGTCTATGAATTAAAAATAAAAACTACGGTAGTGTGACATGCGTGAGTGTATGTAACTGTACATAATTAGGCATTCAAACACTCGTGAGACGTTTTTGTGAAACTCTCCTGTCGGCTCGTTTCATAAATCCGCACTAGTCTTTTAAAGCCTTTCATTATGTAACATAACATATAGTCGTATAAGTGACTGTTACATACAGCCCAACTATCATATCGTTCGATATCACGTAACATGTGAAATTTGTCAAAATTGTTTACTATGGACATTTCATTTCAAATAAAACTTCATCTCGACTGATATTAGAATTGAGGTCGAATCAAATTGTTTTGTTTTTCAGAGATATTCGAAATTTGAATGTAATAATAAAATCGATTTCGATGATAATAAAAGCAACAATAACATTTTCACACAGGTAAGAAATTTGTTCTAACAAAACAGTTTTATCTTTATGCTGGTCGTAATTTGAGGTTTTTGAACACATCATAGAGGGTTTATGATATGTCTGTAGTTATAAAGGTTTTCTATTTCTTTGCAGCAGATTTAAAATTATTCGTAAGTACATCGTGTAATAAGGCCACATCTGCAAATCCGTCACTTGATATTATAAAAAAAACGACAACTGTTCAGGAGAGAGGTTTAAACGTTTTGTTTGTTTAAATCATAGACCTAATAGTTTAAATAGGAGAATTATAACATATCACATAAAAATAATTTGTTTCGTGTAGTTCGTACAGTTCGTATTATTTTTATGACTTTCATGTAATAAAAGCACTTTTGACGTATGATCACACGTGGCTTATAATAAAGCCACGGGTGACATTTTTTTATACAAAATTTATATTAGGCGACTTACGATGACACAATTTCCAATCTCAATACAGGAGAATCATCCCAGACATTTCCGATATTTTATCCCGCATGTAGTAGGTATATGGTTTCTCTTCAACTTCTAGAATAACAATAATAATAACTGTAGTTGCGTGAAATACTTACTACTAGCGTTAACGTTGGGCAATACTGTAAGAGATAGCTGCATGTTCTGTTTTACATTCAGGGCTTGTTTCAATTCACGGACCAGTGCGGTGTATCCCTCCTTATGCTCTGCTTCCTTATCGTCAACGGGAGTGGTGCCGAATGTCTTCTTGATACCATGCCAAATGGATCCTATTAGTAAATTGTATAATTACAATTGGTTTTATGTATTTCGATACGCAAGTGAGGTTAAAGTTATTACCTGCAATATGGCAGCGGAACAAAATCATTTGCCAGTAAAATCTGACGACTAAATCCTTTGACTATAACAATCCTTGACCTATGAATAATATCCCCTTGAAATTTAAAACTGTTATATTACGTTTTTCATAGTAATACTAAACCTACTATCTTTTAGTTACTTCAATATAGTAGTTTGGTTACTGTGAAATTGATTTATTACCTACATTTATTTAAAAGTGAAAGTATTCCTCACCCCAAGTAGAACGGACCTTCTTAGGCTTGACTCTGGGGAACTGCCAGGCGACGTCGATTCCGTCGAAACCGTGCTGTTCAGCAAGCAGGACGGCCGAATTGACAAATGCAGTGCGGGCTTGCGGAGATTCCAGCTAAACCATATATTTAGCATCATCATAATGAATCCAAAATCTTTTACTTTAAATCTTTTATCTACATCGTATTCTTAGACATAACTTACAAACGTACAAATAAAAGACAAGCAAGTTTAGAAGTCTATTTCAAACGTAAACTTGACACGTTTGGATGTGGCCTTACAACAAATAGCTGCGACATTAATACTAAATGAGACATTTGGATTTGAAACGTCAGGTCTAGCGGCAGAATTCTGCCATATACGTAAGCAAGCTCTATATTCCTTTTACGAGTTGGCATGGCAGATTCAAATAAGCATAATTTCGTACACATTCGCTCCTAAAGACCCATTAAACGTATAAGCCGAAAATGTCGCAGCTCAGCTGTTCTTTCCCCAAATATTATGAAAATATACTTACCTACTTATTTGAAAAATTGCTCGCTTATGCATACATGAAATTTATGGCCTAACGCCGTGAATTACGAAAATATTCCCTAAAATATTTTTATTAAAGTGATACCTACTGTAACTTACTTAGTATCTAAATGGTTATGTATTTAACATCAATGTAATTTTAATTAAAAAAATGCTATTTACCAGAAGATTGTATTTCTGCGGTTCCTCGGTGTCAGCATCGCCTCCGACGGAGAGTAATACCTTCAGACCAGGATATTTGGTCTTGAAGTTGGTGATGGTCCTGTAGTTCTGATGGGAACGGTCTATATCCAGGTTCTCGTTGAGGGGCACCATCTTGTAGGTGTCAGGTTGGACCCCGGCATAGCCGTAAACGAGGTGAGTGCAAAAGGAAACAGCAGGGTCCAGATCCGTAGGCAGCATGCGGGCTTGAGCTGGATAAATACATCCCTCAACTAATTTTTAATGTAACCACTGTCATAAAACTAGTAATAATAATGTTACGGCGTTAGCATTCCTAAAGGTCTATTTACTGTGCCCCGGAAGGGAATGGAATAGAATTTTTGTAACCGTAGCACAACGAACTTTTCGATTGAATTGTGTAACATACAATCTAGATACGAGGCAAACAACCGGTCCCGCGTCTTTCGGAGAAGTTACGCTGGCAGAATAAGCAAGCTGAAGTAGCAGTGAGCTGGCCTTATCTGTCAAATAACCGATAACCAATGGGGGAAGCGGGTTCTCGAGTGGAGACCACGGCTCAGCAAACGTAGCCAAGTGGTGGTTGCCCTCTGGTCAGATGGAGTGATGATCTGCGAAAGGCTGCTGGTAGCAGATAGATGTGACAAGCAGAATATCGGGCGAAATAGCGCATTGGACTACGACAGGGTAATGATGATGATGAAAGAAATAGACAAACATAGAAAGAAATGTAATTTGTTTGCCTGTCTATAATTTTAAGAAGCATTACATCGTCGTGAAAAGTTTACTTCGAAACAAAATTGAAATTGATATCCCATGGTCACAAAAGCCTACGTAACAAATTAACTTGTACGCGATAAATAAGTACGTAAACGTAATACCTACTTCCACCGTTTTTTATCATCCATGAAAACATATCGTAGAGCCAAAACGACAATTATTGTTCCTTTGTTTCCACTTTATGATATACCTAAATGTGAGTTTGGATGTGGCATTAGTATAACACTTATGTAGAAATATACCTAATTTTGGATTATTTATGTTAGTTGTACACCTTTTTAATAAAGTAGGGCTAGCATGAGACGGCGCGAATTCCGCGAGCGCGTCGTCTCTTTGCGAAAGTAGCAGTATCTCGCGCTTTATGTCGCACCCTTTCGTGCTAGCCCTACAGAAGCTTGATTTTGATTGCCTCTACCGATCAGAAACTGTGTCTTTTCCGAGTCGAGGCGTATAATGTTGCGGGTGGACTACCCGATCGGACCGATTCCGATTTGTATTAAAATCAAGGCCCAGGTATCACAGACAGCCCTCTATGAAGAGCGTATAAATAGAGGAGAAGGAAACGGCCGCTTTCATCCTACTACGATGTTCCGGCATGGCCAACTACAGGGCGAAGTACCTTATAGTACCAAGGCCAATCCCCCAAGTATCCATTAGAACTAGGAGACTGCTGAGATTCCATGAGAAGCTCGAGTGGCGCTACTAGGACCCTGCACCCTACACCCTAGACGTCTAGTTGCGGATATCAGCCCGTCACACCATACCATAATAATTGTAAATGTTTCGCAGATACTATTATACCGTTAGCGCATATCTGAAGCATTGTTATGTAAAACAACAAACAGCAGTGCCGTCCATGGTCTTCGTTCTACGTTATTTAATTTGAAAAAAGGTTCGTTTCTTTTCAACGTAAAAGTTCTTCTCGAAGAAGTTTTTCTCGATTTATGAATTTCTTATTCTGTTTTATAAATTTATTTACTCGTAAATTTTATTTTTATTTGATTTTTTTAAAGAATACTGCAACCTGTAGTTAGTTAGATTTTATCAATCGACGTCAAACTGCGCGTTTTATACATATGTTTCATTCAGACTCATATCATTTTATCTAAAGAGACCCCTTAATGTAACGGATGACGTAATCACCTCAAACAGGACACTGCCTAGACTAAATAAGCAATTTATTATTTACTCCACATACTCATATTTTTCATTCTGTGTGTGCGCTAAATTGAATAAATGGACTTTAATTTGTTTGGTGTGTACTAGACGAATTTGGTTGTTTCGTCATTGCGGCTAATATGTAAGCTCTAACCAGAAAGCCTTTATATCATATGTAACGCCAACATACTTACAGAAGAGAGAAGTATACATTTTACTGCGAGGGAAGATAGAACGAAAGAAGTGAGGAAGATCGAAAATAGCATTCGGTGAACAAATCAAAGAGAAGGTCAAAGCGAGCGGCTATAAAAAGGTCAAGGAGCAGGCTTTGAGTCGTGAGCAGTGTAGGAGGCTATACCAGCAAGAGCCATATTTTACTTGAGTGAACATAGTCAAAGGTCATAGTGATATGGTCATAAGGCCATATAGTGGTAAAGTCTGATCTGATATATATGTCTAGATCGTTACTGGAAAAGTTAACTGACATACAAGTAACAAAAACTTACAATGAATGTTTAATTGAGAGAATTAACCAATTTTACTTAACACATCAGTAGGAGAACAGTTTCTTCGCAGTTGAGAGGACCACGGTTTGAATTAATTTCTAAAATACGTACGTTTGCAAATTTTTACTCGCAATAACTCATGGTCAAGGAAAACATTGAGAGAAAAACTTGCAAGTCAAAAATAGTTCAGAAATAGTCATCCTTGCAGAAGACCTGTATCCAGCAGTGCGACGAATAACGGCTTGACGATGACTTGACTTACGCCTTGTTCCTAATTAACATTCATCAATAGTTACGAAAGTAAAGTAGGTTTCTGGTCTACTGCATTAGTATTTACTACAACCTTCATGCATCGCTGATTTATTCGTATTGAAAACTATAACAAACAAGTTCAGAGGTTAGGTTAATCATTTAAAAATAAATCTTTGTACCGAATTTTCTTTTCATTTTCATTCTTTGCAGACGGCTTTTAGACTTTACGTACAGGCATAAGATAATAATAACAACGAGTGAATCCAGTCACAGGTCTACGATGACAAAATGTTTCAATTTTTATGAATGATCTCTGTAATATTTTTGTCTTGATTTCGGAATAAATAATGAAAAGAATCTTTACGTCCGACTTAAGTTTAGGGTACACTTTTAAAGCTCTTCTGGGATACGTACAAACTGTGTTTGTTTGTATGTGTGTGTGTTCTTTTTTAGTATTTGAAATCCATATAATGTGAAATTATTCTTTTTCATCTTCATAAGTTAAGTTAAAAATGTAAATAACGTAAGATTGGACCAACATGAATTAGTCTTTCATTTGCTGATAAAAAGAGAAAATTCACAAGTTCACAACAAAAAAGTTCCAAAAGTAGTGTAGATGAAAAGCGAAAACGTTACTGCAAAGACTTATATAATGTTAAAGTACACTTTTACAGATTTAAAACGAATGTGTAGCAAAATTGTAGTTGAATGTGTAAATACAAATTTTCCCATATATTGCAAACCTTGCGTGATAGAAAGAAAATCAATGTCATTTTTTAAATCAATGTTTAATCAAGTTTTTAATAAATAATACTAAATAATAAATACTTAGTATTATTACAAAAAGCTTTGAATCACTATTTTATTAAACAAATTTCAATTTTTAAATCCATTTATTTATTGTTTGTTTAAAACGAATGATAAATTCAGATCAGTAATATGTAAATGAAAGAAGTTATTATTTTCTGTACTGTCGAGATTTTTCATAAATATTCCGAATAAAATAAATATAAGTACACTTATTCGACCCTATTTCAGCTTATCACACGGTAGCTAGGTAACAATGGTAACAAACGCGATAATTAATTGGAGTGACCTTATAGAAAATGTCAAAATTATTTTGGTATAAAACAGTCCTCAGATCTGGAGTACTTATTACTATGCTTCTTTTCAAAATAGAGCCTATTACCAGGTCTTTTGAACCTTAAAACAATAAATTTATTAAGTACCTATTATTTCCCGAATGTCTATATCACAGTTCATTGAATCCCATTTAAACCCTGTTTTTTATCGAATAGGTTACAAAAATATATATTTTTATACATAGTAAGTGTAGAAAGTCAGTAAGTCAAATGTAAATTAGTTTTAGTTACAGTTACATTTAGTTTATTCAAAATTGTATGAACATATTGTTCACGACCATTCACTACTGAAATAAAGATGTGAAATAATAATGTAAATTTGTAAACAGTTGAACTCTCAACTTGTGTTTATATCCAATGGTAGGATTTCATTGTGTAGTTTGTACCACGTCTTGAACTGGAATATTGTTAATTTTCTGATTATAATATGTAAGGTTTATATTATAAAATACATAAAAATTTAAATTTGTTTGTTAATTAGTAACTAAAAATTTAATTTTTAAATGGCGTGTAAGGGCATAAGTGACAACACTAGGTTATGAAAAAAAATACATGACAGTTCACAAGATGTCACCGAGTGTTTCATTTTTCCTTACAAATAGTTTTTAAGTTCTTATGTAAGTGACAATTCTCAAAGTGTCTTTGAACTCAAGTTTTTCGGATGTCTTGTACAGTCGAGAGCACATCAAACTTGACACTTTGGACCACGTTATCGCAAGCGGCAGAAAGATGAAATTAAATATTAAAAGTCAAGCTCGACGTACTCTTGACCCCGCGCAAATAGAAATAAGTACCTATAGGTATTATTCTTTATCTATTGTGTTATCTGCATGTCGACACCAACGGTTGAAAGGTCATCATCATCCTGTCATATTTTCCACTGCAAGTAATTGCTTAACCAATTATTCTTACATCGCTTGTTAATAATGAAATGTATTATAGCATATTACAATGTTCTTATTCGAAGAATATAAAAAAAATATCAATGTTTATTTTTTTTACATTTGCATTATTTTCGAGGAAAAGAACCGATCCCTTCATGATAATATGTCTGTGATACAGACACATTTTTTCCTCAACCCTATTCTCAAATGAGAGCATTGTGCACATTACGGGTTGCTACGAAAAAGTATCTTTATGTACCCGTGCTTTAAAAATATGTACCTATATGAGACATCAGGCATAAACGGTGTATAACTGTTATGTAAGCTGCTCTTTATAGCCAAGGCTTAAACAAGGAAAATCAACACTCAAATATATTCTCCGTAAGTTGCTTGTGCTGATTTCACGACCTCATATGTATAATACTTATTATAAAGTATCTATGAATTTATTATGCAAAGACGATGAATTTATTATGCAAAGAAATTATCTACAGACGTTACAATAACTACGAACACGTTCATTAATAAATGAAATGAAAATAAAGAATAATACTGTAGACGTGACGGTAATGGACGACACCAAAGAGATTCTCGGGATTAATTTGAACCTTACCTATACGTATTAGTTCCTATTGTCGACACAAGAGAGTGCAATCTTAATTGTCCCTAACTAATGACATAGATTCCTTATAATTACACTATCTGTACCTGAACCTATAGCTAAGAACCAATTAATGGGTAATTTTCAAGTTAGTTTTCTAAACCTAATTTAGGTGGCAATTTTTATTATTTGAATATTCTAGAATAATCATTTTATAGATTTAGAAGTCTTATACTTACTTATTTGATAATATATACTCTAATACTTAAATAATAAAAATAACCACCGAAACTAAGTAGGGAAAACTAACCTGAAAATCACACTATAAACTAAAACCTACTTTTTATTTATTACATTAAGTAGACAGAACGTCTATCAAACGTCACTGAATTTGTGAGTTACGTATCGTACATAACATTTGAAAGTTCTCTTGTAATTATTACTTGTGACGTCATACACGCTATTCTTTAATTTTGTTACGTTACAATTTCATACCATTACTTTGATGTCCATATATATTGCTTTTAAAACCGTGGAAGACGTGTAAGTGAAGATTGTTGTTAGATCATACAAGGATGTACCTACCATAGATTGCATAAAGAGGAACAAAGAAAGCACACACCGAAGATCTTTTGAAAATGGAACGGAAGTAAAATAGGTACCTAATCTTTCTATCGCGTTGTAATTAAATACCATAAGTACAAAAATATCAGATGAAAACATCACAATTAATACCTACACTGTAACTTTAATCAAGAAAACTGTAACTTTAGTAAAGAAGTACTTATGAGTGTTTTTCCTTTGATGTTACTTTCCTTTGTTTCATCTTGCCCGCTTGTAATTTGCTTTTGAAATGTTTCTTTATTCAATTTAAATTAGGAAGTTTAGCCAACATTTTGTTTTTTTTTTCGCTCTTAGAAATATTATAACATTATTATTAATATTCTATTAGGCAGGTATCTATAGGCATATCGCTGAGTATAAATATGATACAATAACCTATAGTCTTCACACCTCACAAACCTGACGTTCTGTCTGGCTCTTATCCTGATTAAGAACTAATGTAACTTTAATAATATAATCCAACCAGATTTGTCCATGAACGTGCCCTTGAATGGCATCATAAAGTGGAGTGTCAAGGCGGTGCTCTTTGCCGAGGTCGCTAGCACCAATTTAATCGGTTATATTTTAACTTGTCTACATATTAAGACGCTTAATTTTAACTAAAAGCTGGTATGTTTTGAATGGTTATGATAAAAGTCCGTAAGTTTCGTTTTGAGGGTAATTGCAAAAAAAAACAAGTTACAACCTACGAAATTACTTCTCCGAATAAATTTGACTTAAATATTAATGAAACTAATTAAAATGTTAGAAGTATTGAATAATACGATAATTAAATAACTAAACCTATTGTGTTGCCATTTCAACGAATTTCTCAACCTAAATTCATACACATTTCTTTATAGTTACCTACGTAGAACTAAAAATTTGAAAAGTGTACAGAAAGACTTGATGGTTTTGCCATGAATTCTCATTTAAAAGAAATCTACTATTCATCACATTCGTCACACCTGTAATTAATTGGTTACATAGGCACTGTTCGGAGAAAAGAAAAAAAAAATACGGAAACTTTAAACAAAATTATATAAGCTAGGTATTAAAGAACGCACAGCCAAATAATAAAAAAAACACTTACATTCCCTGACAAAGCTCTTGCTGTCGTAGTAGCAGACGACTTTAGCCTGAGTTGTTGAAGGGGTGGCCGCAACAATGGCCAGGAAGCCAGCGAAGAAAATCAGAGACCTCATTGCGCCAACTGTTCTGTACGGAGCGTAAATGGCGAATGAGATCTACAGCTCAAGCGCACGACAAAATCAAATGTCCGCGCGAGGGAGGTCAAAGACTATCCAGCGATGACCACATCGATTCGAAGAACTATCTTTGTTTATCGTCTTGTAAGCCGTGACTGTGTTAACTTAAACTTTAAGTCATGTGTAAACAAGCCCAGTTAGAAAATAAACCTGATTTTTCGTTGCACAACATTCATTTAAGGATATTATTTTTACCCAACTTTGTAAATTTGATAGAAATTAATAAAATTCAAATTACTAAATTGACCTCGAAATATTACAAAGGAATACATTTATTTAATAAATGGGTACCTAAAACATACCGTATCAGCATGTATTGGCGGTCGCAGAGAAGTGGGTGATTAGGCTACCTACTGTTTAATCAAATTACAAAAAAAGTGCTTATGAACATACACTTACATAATTTTGTCAATTTATGCAAACATCGAGTATGTAACCAGAAATAGAGACGAAATAAGGGCAATACATTCCTGGTAACTCATCCATCACTTATAAATATCAACTCTCGTTTGCACTGAAGTTACAAATTAGAAAGCTGAAATAGGACAGCGCCAACAACTGACCTGTGTGTACGTCTCCGTATATTCCAAAAATATTCTGTATTTATTGTAATAAAGAAAATGTCTCTAACAATGGCGTGCTGATCCATTCGGTGATGTAGGGAAAAACAGCAAAACATCTAATTACAAAACAAACGGAATCAAATTTCATCAGTAATTAAATATTAAATATGTAATTTTGCAATTTTCAACAATTATAGCAAAGCTCAAGTTAACTGGTTGATTTGAAGTGAAACAATTGACGACACCCGTCAATTGTTTCGAATGTGGGCTGGCCAATTGGAGCGCAGGTGTCACATTAATGATATGACAGAATAGTTTTCAAACAAAATAAAGTGACATTTCGTCTCTATTTCTGGTTATATACTCGATGTTTATTTATAATAATATAAAAGTACCTTTTCTTTATGCCACTCTATTAAGAGTATACACAGCGGTGCCTACCTCTATCAAGAGCACGTCGAGCCTGTGGCTTTGGACGTTCTTATTCCAAGTGAGCACAGAGTTTAATTTTAATCTCAAATGTCAAACGTCAAGAGACCTTGTTAACGAGAAATTGTAGGCATAACTCAGTTTTTTTACCTGTACAGTTTATAGGTACCTATATTCGATAGGTACTCTATGACAAGTGACATTCAGGTGATGTCACGTTCTCTAAATTGCAATGAACCATACCGAAATTGTTTAAAAAGTAACCTTACGGCTGCTTCATTTCGGTCTAATCTATCATGTCGCATTGAACTTACCTACCCTTGTATTAATTATTACTTGGCTAAAATTTACAAGTCAATATATAAATCTACAAGTATTTCAACAAGCACCCATACACGTCAATACAAAAATCACGACTATAATATCGATTATGGAACTTTATTGTTACACGTTTACGGTCAGTTTTTTTACAATTATTTGTGTTAGCCGCGCGTCGTGACGTGTTTACGCATGAGTTCTTAGAACTGTGATTATTTAATATTACCATACCGAAAACAATCTTTCCTTATTTTGTTTTCATTTCTACAGTTGTACATACCAAACGTATCAATATAGGTACATGGTACCTACTTGGCGTAACGGGCTGGAGTACGCAATTCTACATCCTAGACGCCTGTTTTGCATGTGGAATGTGTAGGTATCAAGTATAAAATAATCAAGAGCACATGAAGCTTTATATTTTGTACTTCACATCGTTCGGATCGTCAAGCTTAACGTGCCTTTAACCCTGTACTTGCGTACATTATTATTATCTACATACGAAAAAGTAGTCAATTCAACGATGAGATGTATGCTGTACATTTTTTATTAAGTAAATAAGTGCGCATTTGTCCTCCATTTCGCCTGATGGAACGCGACGATGAGATCAATGATGTAGCATGCATACTTAAATAATGTCTATTCACTTTCGCCTTGAAAATGTCCAAGTTATAGGGTTGGGGGAATAAGTCTGCCAGAGAATTCCACTTTTTTGCCGTTCGTCGTATAAATAACGCCTCGTGCGAATCTTTGGAATATCCCGAACACAGGCCCAGCCTAACGTCTAGGCCCATGGTGATGGAATAGGGAAGGCGGAATTAAATCATGCGATTGCATCGCACTCTCCATGATATAATAATAATAAGATAATAGTAATAATCTGATTTAACATTGTGTCGGTAAATGAAAGTAATAATACCATGTACTCATATTATTTTCCGATATCATTAAGCAACACAACAAACAGTAACCTAGTTAAAAATAATTGAATTGCATTCCCGTGACACAATGAAATTAGAATTATATTACAACTCTCCTTTACAACTCTCTCCACTACACTGCCGGACGACGCGCGACGACGATCGCATTAGTGCGCCGGGATCAGTGTGGTCGGCATCTGACGATGACGCCTCACGGCGCCCAAGTGCTATAGGCGAAAAACAGGACGCGTCGCGACGCTTCGACTCTGCGCCAGTGTGGTTTAAGCCTAAGTCAATCATAAACAATTTCTTTTTCCCATCCTCTAAGGTTTCAATTCAGCAGCAAATAGAAAAGAGTACACGTATCCCTGAAACTTTGTTTTTGTGGCTGGCAAAGTGGTATTTATAGAATTTTGGTTTGAACTATGGTAGGTATTGATTTGAAATAAATAAAAAAGCCTGAAAATGTATATGTTTATTTTTAAGATTTTCTTAGTGGTAGGCTAGTATTTATGTAGTCTGTGGTGGTAGGTATGGTTTCCTGCGCAAATTTGGACTTTTCGTTGTCCTGACCACACAAAAGCAGTTTTATTAGTTTTTTTATTAATATTAAAAAATAAACTAATCAGAAAATGATATTGATACCTCAGAAACAAAAATCGTGTTACACGTGTTACTTTCGCCATATTATATGTATAAACAAATATTTTACTTATAAACGTGCCCATTAAATAGCCTTGATCTTTATAGGGGCTTATTTGTCAATGCAAAAACTTAAATAGAACATGTTTAGATTACTTAAACAACGACCTTGCCAGTATCTGTATGTATAGACATCGTTGAATATTATACGAGCAGATCTCACAGGACGATACGTGTACAGTAACTTGAAGATTAGGTACTTACTGTGTTATTATATTACGCTTTAGGTATGTTTTTCCATTGTAGTGCTTAACTAAGTGTAACCTTAATAAGTCATACTCAGCATAAATTTATATGTACGTTTAATTTTGCAATATAGTTTGTAAGCAGTTAATGCGAAGACAATTGAAGTGAGGTCAACCGAATTGGTTGGGCAGTAATCATTCTAGTATTCTAGGCCACAAACGTACAAAGTAACGTGTAATAAACGTTATATATATATTTATATATATCTATAAATGCGTATACTGTAGGTCAATTTGTATTGTTGGTACTTCGGTTGTTACGTTTATTACACGTTAGTTTGTACGTTTGTGGCCTAGAATACTAGAATGATTACTGCCCAACCAATATATATATATATATATACAGGATAAAGAAAGAATTCAACGTGACATAAAGGGAAAATATCTTATTTACTTAAAGGAAACATTCATTTTTATTTCATTTTCAAAATAATAATACGAATAAATGCATTCACAGATATTTTCGAAAAGTTTATCTGGAGCCACGTATCGAACCAATTAAAAATTAATTAATTATAAAGGCTATAATTTACATATTTATTGGTACGTATAAGTGTCCTTCATGTTAGAGACGACGTGTCCTTCATGTTCATGTTAGAGTGGTTGTGGCGACTTTGGCAGCGATGCAAACGCGCGTACGTGAAACGCGCTATTGCATTGCTACACTTGCGAATTATGGGCGATTGCATCTATGCCAACGCACGACTGCATCGGTACAAACGCGCGATTTGCGAATTGCGCGCGCGTGTAAAGGTAGACGACTACCGACTGCATCGCGTTTGCATCGCTGCTAAAAGTCGCCATTTTTAACCGTTCTCAGAGTCTATAGATAGATATTAGATTAATGTTAGATTTTATAGAAGATATACCCAGTCCACACCCAGTAAGACCTAGTGTATATTGGAGAGGTTTTATCCTTATCATTTATCATATCTATTAATAGAATAATGAGTGTTTATTTTTTGCATTTTTAGTTGGTTTGATTTTCGGCTCGGCAAAACTAAAAAAAATCTGTGAATTGCAATTATTAAGAAAAATAAAAGAATGTTTCTTTTAAGTAAAATTAGCTAATTCAAGTGTTTGAGCTCGGAGTTTCTCGAATTTTATGTGCGAAATTCAATTTGAAATTTATCATGAGCTTAGCCATGGTAACCTAATGGTTTGCCCTACTGCCTCTCAAGCAGAGGGTCGTGGGTTCGGATCCGGACTCGCACCTCTGAGTTTCTAGAAATTTATGTGCGAAATTTTGTTTGAAATTTATCATGAGCATTTCGGTGAAGAAAAACATCGTGATGAAACCTGTACTTTTAAGAAGGTTCACAACCCTCGGAAAACGCGTGAAATCCCTAACCCGCATATAGCATTATTAAATTATTCTGATAAATAGTCGTATGCGACTGTACTCCACGCGTCACGTTCGTCTCGTGTAAGCCAGCCCAACACGACATACATACACTAACAAATTTCAGGAAAAATAATTGTACATTTTTTAAATAAAATAAAAAATAAAAATAAAAAACTTTTATTTTCAGACACCATAGGCCCATACTTTGTTAGTAAGCAACCTTATACTATATTAGTAACAAATGACTGTACGGTGAACTTATTTAAACATTAAAATTTTTAAAATCGAAATGTTAAAGTATTCAAAATACATAATATAAAAGTCATTGAAATAATAATGATAATTTAGTCGAAAGTAAAAATTTAAAATACTAAAATTTACAACTAATAAAATAACAATTCAAATTCAAATTAGCTAATATAATAATAATTAACATGAACAAAACTAAAATTTTAAAATCACATGTCATAGAGAAATTCATTACAACTACCATTACAATTACTACTACTTACTTAGTCACTATTTTTGTGTGCGAAATGCATCTGTGTATACAATGTGCTGTGATCGGGGAATCATGTCGCTCTGCTATTACCCTTAGGATGGAATTGGAACTACCCCGTAGGTACTCTGCAGAGCTGCGAGCCCGTTTTCTTTCGCATGATGGCATTAAGGTCATCAGTTACAAAATGCCCGAGATATTTAAATTGTGAAAAATATATAACTAATATAACTATATTGAAAAAATAGGGTGGTTTGCATTAATATTAGACATAACTGGTTGAGTGGTTGAAGACTGTACCACCTCAGTCAACCGTGACCATGGGACCTGTAAAGGGCCCGAAACGTCGGTTTGTTTGAAAAAAGAAATATACGCGATTTAAATCCGGAAAAATAGTTTCATTTCCTATATTTAAATTGGTTAACCCGCTTAAGTTCTGCACCGTTGAGTGTAATTTTGGGTACATGAGATGGACACTTACCACCGACGGCCCTAAACACCAGAAACTCGCTTTTTTTAACGTTATACAGGAGACCATGTGAAAGTGCATAACGTTCACAAACCTGTAGTAAACTTCTAAGCGCTCTAACCGTTGGACTCAGCAGCACCATGTCGTCCGCGTAACTGATGTTATTGACGCTGACGTCATCCACGCAACAGCCGACCCTCATGCTGCTGAGCTCAACGATCAAGTCGTTAACGTATAAGTTAAAAAGCTTTGGTGAGGTCAGACCCTCCTGCCTCACTCCACACTCTAATTTGAACGAATCTGAGAGCTTATTAGCCCACCTCACGTAGTTTACTTGACTTGTTGGTGACTTGACTAGTTTTTTGCTAACTTTAAAAAATTAAAAACTAAACATTTATCAAAACTTTCAAATAGCGTGTATTTGAGAAAACTAAATAAGGAATTCTGTATATTAAGAAAAACTTGTACGTGAGCTCCGAGACTAGCATGCATAGATGTAGGAAAAAAGGGAATACAGGTATAATCTTAGAATAATAAATCGGTTGCATCTTCTAAACAAAGGGGCGACTAGTTCTAAAACCTTGCGACTAGAACAGACTAATTCACGACTTTTTCTGGGTGCAACCAGTTCTAAGTTAGGAGCTGTGGTTCTCGAGATTCAACACATTAATAACTTCAAAACGGCGTAACAACTAAATCTAGTTTTTTACGACTAGAACCGATAAATCACGACATTTTTAGTGTAACCAGATCTAAGCTAGGTATTGTGGTTCTCGAGATTAAGAAATGGTGCCGCTGGAATAAGCTTATTCCAGTGTGGATAGTAAAACACTCTTATAACTTTTGAATGGCGGACCGACTAAATCTAGTTCTATGCGACTAGAACCGACGGCGACTGGCGACTTTTATCTGGCTAGTCAAATTGGAAAAACTCTTCCATGGTCACGCAGTAATAAGGCACGCTATTAAACGCAAATACCCATGATGGACTGTAAACAAATTGCGTAATTTGTGTATAGAAAATAGTTAAAATCAATTAAGTATAAGAAATTCTTAATAATAAGTATTTAAGCAGTATGTGGTGAATTGCAATTAAATTTCTATTCTTATATCGTTTTAAGCGAATGTTTTAATTTTTAAGTAACTAACCTCTTTGCATGAAATTGAAACTGACCTATGTACGAATGAAAAAAATCTCCTTACCGACCATGGCTGTAATGGAAAAAAGGACCGTGGGTTTTATTTGCGGCATTATAGTCAAGTCAGCCGCCATGCCCTTTATGAGCAAGTGCAATGAAAGATAATAATAACGCACACACTCAACATAGCCCCGCACTAGAATAACCCTAGTGTCGCGGGTGGCATGGACACACACATAGACAACCACAAATTACACCCAAACTCACGGGAGAAATAAATGTAGGCCATACAAATATTACTCCCAGCCCGGGAATCGAACCGGGGACTTCTGCGTAGCAGTAATATATATATCTATTTAACTGCCTCTTGAGTATTCGGACACAGAGGCAGTTAAATAGATATACTATATATTAGATATATTTTGAGTCGGACTTATAAGTTTTATAATGAACAAGCCCTATACCCCACCTTAGGTGGGGTCGGGCTCGTCCTGCGGCCCCCTAGAGACCCCCATATGCCAATTTTCAACGGGATCAGCAATTTTTTTCCTGCCGCCAACGAACGCTTCTATGACGGCCATATTTGAAAATGGCGAAAAACAAATTTAGAGCACAAATTATTATCCGGCATTTCTAGTGGCATGTCAATTTTCAGTCGAATCAGAGCAAATCTCTTTCGGCAGCTATTTTTAACGAAAAAAACACTTATATGGCAGCCATATTAAAAAATGGCGAATTATGATTAAGGACTCGTAAAGACCCTCGCATGCCAATTTTCAGCCGGATCGAAGCAAGTTTCAGCCGCTATTTTGAAATCGCCAACTTGATTTTTTTTAACCTAGGCAATTGACCAGTGTTACCCTCTATGACATTCCTTCAAGGACCTCCTACCTATCTCTAATAGTTTCCGTGATAGGAGGCTTTGAAATGTGTATGGCGGCCATCTTGTTTATTTGAATTTCGAACATTTTTACTTCCTGCGGAAATTGACCAGGGTGTATCTCATAAAAATGCACAAAAATCCTAACGTATTATAGACTAATCCAACGTATTATAGTTTTTGCAGGCCGTTGATCACTCGTTTACATTTTCCACATTTAGGTCTTTTCATATTTGATTCTTTGCCTTTTTTGAGCTTATCCGCTTACTACGGTATAAATATCTTTTTTTCTACCATATCGGGAAGCATGCGTTCTATTTTGCTGAGCCTAAACTTGTAGCTTTATATATATATACATATAATGGACATGCAGCTATTAACATACCTATTCTACATAACATTGCACAAAGAGTTCCATGTTGAGCATGAGTCAAACATGATTCAAGCTGTTATCGTTATTTTTCCAAAACAACACAATTGACGTTGATTAGAATTTTCCAGCAATAGGTAACTTATTATTTTATAGATTACGTAGCAAGGTTGATTGGAAATGGGACTCACTGTTTTAATTACATGAAAGTGTTTAAACTTATTAGAATACTTATTAAAACATAAGATTATAGTGTAAATAAGGAAAATTCTATTCTTTACCAGGAAGTCCCCATTTCTCTTCGCAGTAATAAGGACAAAAACAAACTGCATTGATATTGAATGACGACTAGGTTATCTTGCAGTTGCGCAGCTCTACGCTCTTTTCCATTACGTATTATTATAACATTGTGATGTGCAATCGAGTATGTATATATTGAAGTGAAATTGTGAAATTTAAAAATGGGAAAATATGTTTACTTATATTACGCTCTAAATTAGGTGCACAATATAGAAACATCACACGGGTGTATTAAAACTTTATTTACTTTGATAAATCTCCATCGAATTACAATTAAATTGCTACATAATTTTACCAAGAGAATAAGATAAATCAGATTATAAAAGCGTGATATTTAATTTGGCACCCTTTGTGAACGTTACAAAAAATAGAATCGAAAAATGGATAATAAATAGTCTAGATTGTTCTAGTACAATCTAATTTAGGCGGGTGGTTTTTGTGCTTGAGGTTGGTTGGAGGTTTGCTGTCGCAATGACGCTTGATCAGGTTGGCCTTGAGGTGGTTGGCCTTGAGGTGGTTGGCCTTGAGGTAGTTGGCCTTGTGGTGGTTGACCTTGAGGTGGTTGACCTTGAGGTGGTTGACCTTGAGGCGGCTTTGCTTGGTCTTGACCTTGAGAAGGTTGAGCGTTGACAGGCGGCAGCTGATTTAAGTTTTGACCTGTTTTCGGAGCCGCTTGGCCTTGCGGTGGTTGTTGGAATTGTTGTTGTTGACCTTGGTACTGTTGTTGCTGTTGTTGGCCTTGATACTGCTGCTGTTGCTGCGGTTGACCTTGATATTGCTGCTGCTGCGGTGGTTGTCCTTGATACTGCTGGTGCGACGCCTGTTGACCTTGATAGTGATGTTGCTGGGGTTGTTGGCCTTGATACTGTTGTTGCTGGCCTTGATACTGCTGTTGTTGCTGTTGACCTTGTCCTGGATATTGCTGTGGAGGTGGTTGGAATTGTCCTTGCTGTCCCTGGAATTGACCTTGATGCGGTGCTTGGAACTGTCCTGGATGCTGCTGGTACTGTTGCTGTCCTTGATATACTTGTGGAACTTGTTGGTACTGAGGTACTTGTCCTGGTGGATGCTGTCCAGGATGTCGCTGTTGGTAATATTGTTGTTGCAATTTCTGTTGATGATCGAACATGCGCTTTTCGTGGATGGCTTGATTTATCTGATGCTCAGCGCCGGGAATTGGATGGCCATTAGCATCCAACTGAAAATTATTAAAACATTATTAAACTCTTTATAATGCATAAAGCTTACATTAGGGTAAAAATAACTAAACCTTCTTTTTCAATTGATAATTACGTAAGAAATATTCTTCAGAGTCAATCTTTTTGAGGCAATAAAAATCGCATTATTTTAGAAACAATAGAATAATTATTATTTCTAGTTGGGAATACCTCTAGTGATTTGATTTTTTTATTGGACTCGGGGATAATAGTAGAATAAGGCAATTCGCGGGTATCATATATTAATGTCTAATATTAACATCAAAAACCAGACAAATCTATGATTCATAGTGAAAAAACTAAAATGTCCTAACTCGGGAGTCAATGAGAAACGGCAATACTGTTTGGTGGCATACATCCGTAATAGTACCATACAAGACATGAGCCCACCATTAACATATAATGTAATGTCCGGATATTTAATTAAAGATAGCAAAGCCACTTGGAAAAATAATGTTCCCATATTTTCATAGAATTCTTTTATAATTAATAGATTCAGGTGTTACTTTCTATGTCCATGTTAATAAAAATGGAAGTAAGTTCAGTGGGTTCGCAGAGTAGCAAATTAATTTACCTTATTAGGCAAAGAACAATTCATTTACATTTAGTTTCTATGTACTTCTGTCATTTTTCTGGTATAAATATCTTCGTTGTTTAAAATTATTACCTATAAATAATTTAAAAAAGTGTGATGACTGAGTGGTTCATTAAAGTTAATTATTAAAACTATTTTTATTTCATCAAAACATCAGTTTACTAAAAATCGGATTATACTGTTTACTTGAGATATTGCACAACGAATTTCAGATTTACTTACTGCATATTCATGCGAAATAATATAACATAATGTTAAATATTATTAACCGACTTCAAAAAAGGAGGAGGTTCTGAATTTGACTGTATGTTTTTTTGTATGTATGTTACGCGATAACTCCGGTACGTGTGCACCGATTTTCATGATTCTTTTTTTGTCGGAAAGAGGGTACCTCCATAGTGGTCCCATTTAATTTTGAAGAAAATCATCCATCTCTAAGAGTGGCTGTTCACGCATGAAGATTCATTTTTATAAATAGCGCCTAAATTTTATTATAAGGAGCAATTATTTTAATGGTTGATTTTGCTATTCTCTAATGCAAGGCGTTTTTCTCTCAATATACTTTGAGTAGTGAGAACCCATTTTTATTTTCTCCTGTGTCAAGTCCCGCATAGTGACGAACTACAGGATGAATCCTGGTTTGCGCACTTTCCGGTAACCGATTTCAAAAAAACTTGACAAATAAATGTACTTTTGAGGTCGGTTTTTTAGTACTCTGTACTGAGATTATTTATATTAATCAAGCAATGGAATATTTTTCTATTAACCACCTAATGTAATGAGAATTGCTTTATAGTTTGGAATGAGTCTTGTGAACCATTGTAAGAGATGCTTTAGCCATCTTTTATTTAAACAAATAAGAATTGTGTCCAAAACATGTATCTTTTTAAGATCACGTTATACTTGATTGACAAGAAATTGAATATTACTTGAAGTTATTGAATGTATACAGGTCACTGTAATTTATTTAATATAGGATAGGTTAGTTAAGTCAAACTATAGACATAATGATGAATGTCATTGTTTCTAATCGTGAGAGGACCGATCCAACCTGGAGGAGGCAACGTCGACTGGGTGGAGGTGACTAATGTCAGTTGACTGAAAGGAGACCTCGGGGTATTGCACGGCCAGAGTGCGGCTTTGGTAGTCCATATAAACAGTGACCCCGGGAAGAAATCAGAGTGTAGTGGCTGTACTCTGGCTAAGTGCTAAGTGCCAGAGAGTAGTCTAACAAGGCGAAGTGCGTAATAGGCACAGGTCACTGTCGTTCGTGATTCTAGAGTCACCCAACATGCACCATCTAGTCTTCGTATTGTACTCAACATACCAATCCTCGCTGCTGCAGATATTTTATTTCCTCGAGCCGCTCCTTCTCGAATTGTTGATATTCATCTTTAGTGTAAATCTCATTTTCGTCGATAGACTTCCAACCTGGTATAAAATTAATTTATGTTTAGGACTATTTTTGTAGTAAATAATCGATTTTCAAACTTAATATAGTATTTTCAAAGACGAACGAGCTCCATAGACAAAGAGCGGTGCGGTTCGACCTTTTTTTAAAAACATTGTTCTGTCGTCACGATTTCAGTTAATCTTTTTACAGTAAGTTCCATTTAGCGTGTCAATGGCGATCATTCACCCAGTGTTGCGCGCGAAAGTATTATTGTAGCGTAACATATTAATTAAATATTTTGCCTTTATTTTGTTAAATAGTGTATAATTAACGCTCACACTCAACATAGCCCCGCACTAGGGAAACCCTGTGTCGCGGGTGCCATGGACACACACATAGACAACCACAAATTACACCCAAACTCACGAGAGAAATAAATGTAGGCCATACAAATATTTCTCCCAGCCCGGGAATCGAACCTGGGACCTCTGCGTGGCAGTCCGGCATGGTAACCGTTCGGCCACGGAGGCAGTTCATATATCAATAATTAAAAACGTAATCTAAATACTAAGCAGAACTTTCAATACCAACGACAAATCTTAAAGTGTAACAACAAGATAAATGTCTGTGTATCTAAATTATCACCAAAATGTATACGTGAATATTGTATCTTCGGTATGGTCGGGACAATGGCCACTATTAACATGCTAAATGGCACACACTATAGATTTCCGTAGTTAAACCAGAAATATGCTACAAGTTCTATTGCGAGTTTGTCTGTGAGTTGTCTGTTCTCGGCCTTTATCCATGGTACATACACCATTTTTTATGAATGTGAAATATACTTGTGTAAATCCATGACGATAATCCATTATTTTCAGAGAAATGCGTGTTCTACTAAAAGTTTTTTATGTCATATTTACCTTCGTCTTGATTGAAGGACGATTTCTTTGCCTCCAACATGAACTCTTGGAAATCGATGAGACCATCTCGGTTCTTGTCATTTTCTTGAAACACATGCTCTCGCATCCGTTCCATCTCTTCAGCGCGTTCATGCATGTCTTTATTCGGGCCTCCTGGACCGTACAACTTGTCCAATTCCTTTATGAAGAGAGCCTTCACTTCGTTTGCATCCCACACACCGTTGCCGTCGACGTCTAGTAATGGAATTAAATTAATTAATCTTCTATTTAGGGCCTCTTACCAGACGAGCCGTTTCTTCATGCTTATCTAGAGCATCGGTGGTGATTACGCTGGCAGCTCGTACGTTTAAAAACAGTCAAAATTTGTGTGAAATCTCTAGATGCGGTCAACTCGCTGGAACAGTACTTACGAGAATAGAACAAAATCTTAATCATACTTAAGATCTACATACACACTACGATCTAGCTACTTTAGCTGTGCCTGGATGAAGTCGAAGTTGCTCAATAAACGTATGGCACATAAAAATCCCAAAATACTGTGCAAAACCATGAAAACTACAATACAAACGAAAAACATTTGTACCACAACACAAATGTAAAATCCAATAGAGCGTGCAAGTGATAGTGAGAATACAGTGGCGCAACATCGAGTTGTGAACAATCCGAAATGGGAAACTCCAAACGTGCTAAAAGTGTACAAGTTTTCTGTTAGGTTTACTTAGAACTTCAATGGAAAGATAAATTAAATGACCCTTATTATTATAGTACATAGATGACACTAGTATTACTATTAGCTGCATACGTCGAGAACCCCAAAGCCTAAAGCCAGGACGAAGGTTATCTAGTTCTACAAATCTATGGTTACGCCACTAACAATTTTAGTGAAAAACTCTGAATACTACCAAACTAGCACGCTTTGGACCTTACCATGCAGCATGAAAAACACCTTTGGGTCGAAATCTTTTGGTTCCATTTTGTCAGAGTTTTTCCATGTTTCTAACAAATGGTCTCTCTTCACAGGGTGGTGTAGCTACAAATATAATTATAAATTAATTGGCGTGCATTAACGACTCACCATGCATCATGAAGAATGCTTTGGGGTCAAATTCCTGGTCCATATGGTCTTGTTTCTCCCATACTTCCTCGAGTTGTTGCTTTGAACCAGGATGATGAAGCTGTTTGAAGTCATAATGTTTATGAATTTAAGTTTTTTTTTTAAAACATAAGCGAAAGGGGTTTAAGTTTACAACAATCGTACGACAGCGAAATCGATATCCTGCAGTCCTCTCTGGTGTAGTATGGATTAAACAAAGTTTAGTGCAAAAACTTTGGAAGAATATATTCAAAATTTTATTTCAGCTTTCCGTCACGTCTGTGATCACGTCCTATATATAAGTCCATTTGGTGAGCAAATCAATTCACAGTGCCTTATCGCAAACGGCATGTTGTGAAATTTGTAATAAACAGTTTTGAGAAGCAAACCGATTGTACTGGAAGTTACGTTAAAAAGCAAAACACTGATTGACACTCACACACACGTACTACTTAATGTCAAATGAAGATTAACGATTGTACCTTGTATATAAAAGAAAACCAACCACTTTAAGTACTTACATTTAAAAAATTATTTACTTCCGACAACTACTCGCAAATTTTAATCAAACATTTACATTAACTGTGAAATTTTAATTATTTCCTTCGTTTCATAGTACCCGGATACCCGGAGATTTTACCTTCAGGCACTGACCTCAAATGACGTCATATACACGAAAAGAGTGCTACATTGAAATTGAACTGAACAGCCTACGTGATGGGGAGGCAACCTAAGAGGGCATGCTACGGATGCCTAAAGGGCGTTGTTATGAAGGCAGACACAGCAAATTACACTCTCGCGTACTACCGGAGTGGCACTAGGTTGGGTGCATTGAACAGTTTGGGGAAATATCAATGCAAAAAAAATTGCAATATAACTAAGACGCAAGTCGAAATGGCAGCACATAATAAACACTGTCTACATTTACTGGTTTGTGGTGTTTCTTAGCTTCTTCTTCCTGCTTTAGCTTCTCTTCAAATTCTTTTTTCTGCTGCTCGTCTAAGTGTTCTATTTTCTGTTGTTTTTCAAACTCCTTTTGCATTTCGTACTCCTGGAAAAAAATTTTTGCCAAACAGTTAAGTTATAATATTTATTAATATTGAAAATTAGAATAGTATACATAGAAAACGTGAACACCCAAAAAAATATGAACAATAGATTAGGTGACTTCGAAATGGACTAGAAACTTTAGTGATGGGGAAAGGGACAGGAAGAAAGGGACACGTTTACCTCTATTGTAAGATACTGTAGGCTCAAATTATTTAAACAAAATTACATTTACCTTGAACTCTCGTTTTCTCTGCTGGTCGGCCGCCTCCAGGTCTTTCGTGGTCTTCAGGATAAGCTTCTTAAGGTCTTCAATCTCAAATGTGTGAGGATTGGCATGATCAAGATGTTCGTTTGTCGAAACTTTGCCATGCACGTCCAAATTGTTGTTAATTTCGTATTGCTGCAATCAAATTGAAGATAACATAGTTTTAGTACTATAAATATGAAGCGGAGAGCTATAAAGAACAAACAAGATCAGATAAAGATTAGATACAACGGATGCATATATGAGTACTCACTACGCGTGAAGTAACTAAAATTAGCATTATTACATTCGCCAATGCGTGATTTTTAACCTTATGTATAAATATTTTACTTTTTTGTGAACATAAATAATAGTTATAAACCCACGTAGGAAATAAAACATTTTTTATTTAAATCGCGTACATAATAATATGTTTTTCTTTTTCAAACAAACCAATAGTCATAATAGAGAATCATAGGTTTGTTTAATTTACGAATAATTATTGTTTTTTGTGTTGAAATAAGTTTGTTTACTTAACCCATAAAAAACCTTCGAAACAAATTATAATACACCAACAATAATAAATAAACATTAACATAACTTAATTTCAGATTGTTTGATTTTTTGCGATAAAGACAATTCACCTGACGTGAAGTAGTTATTATCGCCGTCTTTACGTGTACGTATATCGCAAATACTAAAGGCATATTTTTAGCATCACAGAGAAATTGCCGGCCATATGTTATGAAAGATACTGCTTTTTGTTCGTATACGTGTCAGTAATAGTGTTGCCTTACCCTAATCTCCAATCCAATAAATTTAGGACAGAATAGCTCTGCTACTAGTACAAGAAAACATAAGTTAATGGCAAACTCCTATGTTGGATATGCCTGTGTTTGGCTAAGAATTTTTACAAGATATAGAGGCAACCTAAAAAAAAAATGAAATGCCTAAATTTTGTATTGTAATTACTTAATGAAAGAACGGGAGTACAGTTCAACGGAAGTAAGGATCCAATGTCGGAAAGTATCTAGAAAACAAATGGCTTTCAGTTATTGACAATGTTTGTTGATTGCCAAATATTTCTAGTCGTATGAAAGTAAGATCGTACTAGATCAGAAAAATAATATACTCACGGCAATTGTTTTTTTAAGTAATATAACAAAAGAATCTATACTGAAGATTTGAAAGAATTCTTATTAGTTGAAGGTCCGCGTGTTCGTTTCAAGAAATATCCTTGATTTTTGTCTTTCATTTGCCTATTTGACTCCTAGGTGCTTGCAAACTACACATTTTTGTAATGTATATATTTATTATATAATATACTGTCTACAGTCTCTCACAAATTTAAACGCTTAAGCTCTGTTCTATGTATTTCTACCTATTTGCTGTAAGGAAATGTAAAGTAGTTTATTTTATAATATACATCTAGTGTTGGACAATTTTCCGAAAATTTTCAAATAGTGGAAATTGTTCCGAAAAAAAATCAGAAAAATTGGAAAAATACAATTGGACTACAATTCTGCGTTTGGATATAACTTTTTATAATAAAATATTTATTTTTCTGAAAAATATGATTTTTTCAAAATAGACATTTTTCCATGACTCAGCATTAATTACATGTATTGCACTTCCTTTTTCGAAAAAGTTAGTCTTATTGTTTATTTTTTGGGCTGTTGAGCACTTGGCAAGACACAAAATGTAAAGACTGATCTGAAGACCAGGCGCGAACGCGGTGTCGTGATGGAATGCTTCGCATGCTTAAGGACGCCGCGTCGTACCTAGGGATACCGAGGCATAATTGCCATCAGTGTGCGCTGGCATGTAGGGATGGCGTAGAATCCCCGCCGGGCTTTGGGCTGCATTAGGCACAAGATGGTTCAGAATAAGATTTTGTTGTTAGTATTATTGGTTGTATAATGTACACATGCTAACCAATGTATCATAGTGTAAATAAACATAAATCTCGAATGTAACAAAGCATAGCAGAATATGACTACTGAGTTAACAATGGATACAAAACCCCGGTGTTATTTATACACCGTTAAAACTGAAATGCAACGCAAGGCGAACATGTTCGCTTTAGCGGAAAAATACTTTCACACGCTTAGTAATGCCGTCCGGCCGGTCGTAAAACTGGGCACCAATTCTACTAATTTTAAATCATATCAGTCGTGTCGACACACAACAACAACAAAAGTTTTAATGGCAGGATTTTGTACGTTTGGTATTCTGCTAAAAGTTAAGAGTAATTGCTAGCCATCGAACTACCACCCAACTGTCATTGCAAATTTATGGTATTCTGTGCTCGATGGCGTAATTAATTATAAAATAATTTAATAAATTAATAATAACAAAATTTTAATAATGATAATCCTTGTGAAAGAGTTCGTCTAGAGAAGTACTGCCACTTCACCTATTTCTGCCGCCAAGCAGTAATGTGAGCATTTAGTTTAGAAGGGTAAGGGAGCTGGTGAAATTACAGACACATGGGACTTGTCAACTTATGTCTCAAGGTGTACGGGAGCAATGGCAATGCCCATAAGATCTTTGCGATTTAAGCTCTGAATGGCACTGCAACTGTAATGGATAGGCGTGTTGCTTACCATCAGGCGCATGAATTGTTTGTCCCGCCACTTAGTATGATAAAAAAAAAATAATTTCAAAAAGCACATTACTGATTAAACCAGATAAAAATTAAAATATGCACGGTAATTTCCGTGGATTTTTAGTAAGGCAACATAGTTCTTCATTGAATGAATGAATGCCATCATTGCCATTCCACTGACGCCAGAGACTCAACTGCCATTGCTAGATTTTAGCAGAATAACAAATGTTATCATAATTACAATGCCATCAGAATGGAATATAATTCAACAAGTAAATCATCGGAATTGGGGCCTTGGGCTTGTGTGTACAAGTAGAATTGACGATTTATCAAGCCGCTGATGGACACGTCGATTGTACAGTGTCTAAAGTTTTCATAGAAAATGAACACAAGTAACGTATGATCTTAAAAACTAAACACCTAAGTAACAGTACCTAAGAGAAGGCTTAAAATAATACAATAATTGTATCCCCGGGACTCGTGGGAAATATAATAACGCACACACCCTGTATCGCGGATGCAAACACACATACACAGCACAAATTGCAACCCAAACTCACAAAACAAATAAATATAGGCCATATCTCCCGCTCCGAGAATAGTACCCCGGACCTATGCCTGGCAGACCAGCATGGTAACCATTTGGCCACCGAGGCAGTTAGTAGGTAGGTAGTAACTTTCCAAGTTTACGTTATTTTATTGCTCTCTTTGCTTGGTGTCTTGATTCATATCACATGCTACGGTTTTTAATTGCAAGACATTATGGTGAGAAGCCCATGCCTTATTTCATTACATAGTGCCGTTTCCTGAAATACGCAAGCATAGGACTGGCCGACCGCAGTTAACATTGATGAATCACGTATGTAGTATTTAAATGCCTCTAAAAACAGAAAACAGGTTTGTTGGATAAATCTATAATGCAAATCTGTGTTTCTGAAGAGTGTTACTACTAGACAAATCCGTTTCATTTTCCGTTACAATTTATATTATATAATATCTTACTTACTTGTTCAGCACTAGCTCAGTATTTACTAAAAAGCAGCAGTCTTTTCGGGATATTCATCGCCGCCAATTCGTTTAGTATCGGATTTAATCGATACCTCTTAATGAACACTACAGCAACAAAATTTTTTTACTTGTTCCGTTTTTATTTTATTATTTGTTTCTTTTTTATCACAAAATTCGTTACTTGGATTTTTTCGAACTTTGTTTTTGTTTCTTTATTTTTCTTTTTCACAAAATTTGGGGAGCATAATATTAGTAAACAAATATGGCTGTTTACAAAAATAACAGAAAATTGCCAAAAAGTAATATTGGCGTAGTGTTCATTGGAAGTATCGAAATTATCTATTAATTAATTACCCTAGTAGCGAGGTGGCGCAGACGCTCCAATTCACGACGCTTGATTTCATCAAGCTTTGTCCTTACATTGTGATTCACGAAGTCCAACTGTTCAGCGATTTTACCTGACTGTAAAATAAAATAAAATAATAACTGCACTCTCTATTTTGATAAATGAATAAAATTTTGGCAAATCCTTTTACCATTGTGGCAACCATTACAGTATAAGCCATCGACACGATAGCAAATAACGAATTATTACAATTTGTTTATCGAGCGAATCGAGCACCTTTCCATTAATCCACATGAATATTATAAATGCTAAAGTAACACTGTCTGTGTTACTTTAGCATTTAGTGTTTTCACGACTAAACCGCTGAGTCAATATTAATGAATTTTGATATAGAGATAGACGGGAGCTAGAGAACAGAGACATAGGCTACTTTTTGCAAAAATAAACCTTAAAGGGGGTAAAATATGGTACGAAAGATTGTATGGAGAACCAATAAAACCATGAAAATTAGTTGTGATTTTATTTGTGAAGTAACTCCACTAGTTTTGTTATGATTATGAATGCAATACTGCGGCTTCGATGAGAAGGTTATTCAAAAATCTCTCACTAGACGTCACTAGCGGCGACGATTGACTAAAGTCAGTACAAAGATCCATAACAAAAACTCAAATGAGAACTTCGATGACTCGGTAACTGGACCCGTGGCTCAGATGGTGAGAGCAATGCTACGGTGCAGCAGGGACATGGATTCAAGTCCCACCAGGTCGACGCAGAATTTTTCTGTGCGTTCGATCTTTATATTCATAATCATATGAAAATTAGTCTAGTACGAACGCGCCAAAAGTAGAGGCTACACGAAGTATTTACTCCACCCAGACGATGTGGCGGGCACCAGCTAGTTCAGATTATAAAGAAAAGTGATAAGATTTATGTTTTCAATGAAATAAAATGACTACTCACACGGACGTCATCCTCATTCGCTTTTTCTAACCGCTCCCTGAAGTCAGGATCGCTTTCAAGCGCTTGAACGACTTCTTGCAGATACCTATGGTATTCCATTATGTCTTCCTGTATCAATGAGAATGAAAATAAAGTTAAAAGCATGTTTTATTAAAAATAAAATTTACACAATATTGATAAAAAAAACAACAAGCATAGGTAAAACGAAAATTTTTAAATAATAACTATTCTTGATGTATAACCAAGCAAGTTATATATTATGATGTGAATTAGCAAAGCAAAGCTAAGCGTACACAAATTTCTAAAGAGCTGATGCAAAGGTTTGGCAAGATACAATGAGTCTTACCATGTTGCATAATTTAAAAGAACTAATTTCTTTTACCAGCAACATGAACATTGAATTTGTAGGTTAAAAAGAAAATTAATTTGTTGATTAAACCATTAAAGTCCTTATTGATTATAAATTACTAGTCAGTAAATGCAACATACATAGGTACTGCGTGATGGTATGTAATAAACATATCGCCCTTCCCACCGAATAATACGGTAATATGCTGTTGCGGTAGTTTTCATTTTATTTTATTGCATATCCGGTGTTTAGAGCGTTAATTAAACCTTGTAATTTTTTTTGTACTATTTCTATGGATATTTATAAAAGTACATTAATTTCATTGGTCCCGTAATGAACATAATAATATTATTCCCTTAATGTCTAAACACCCTTATTACACGAATAATACCATAACAAGTTAGTACAGATTATGCAATCGTTATTTTTTTCCGTAAGTGATAATAACCATTAAATTCGCGTAAGAAACACATTAAAACAATTATATTCGTGTATTATTTTTATTTTTATGTAGAATGTATTTGCATATTCATTTCTTGATACCATACATAAACGAATGTTACCCTAATTATACTATTACTGTATCACTATCGCTTGGATTTCATCCGAATAAAGTCGTAATATCATATTACCGTTACCTTTTTTGACACCACATTTTAATGAATAATACGGTAATGCATTAATACTGACTACGAAATCGTTGGGTTTACACGCGAATAATATGGTAATGATGCGTTGCATACTATACTTTTGGCCTGCAATTTCAGTAATATTATTTTCATCAATAACTTTATTTAGTAAAACTAATACAAAAATATCATAAAAGAAAATAAACTGTAAAAAAATTAGCTTTGTTTTGACATAGAAATAACTATCCTATGATGCACCCGAGCTAAGATATACACAAAAAATAGTTTTCTATTTTTCCTGTAAAATTTAGAATTATCGGTTACCATATTATTCGCTGGGGACTGCGATATGCATATGTTTTTATATTCGATCACGTTAGTTTCCGTTAAATTCCGGACCAACCTCTCCCCATTCTTTTCGCCACCCTCCACTCCCATTAGTCTCGGCATTCATACTCGTTTGTTTACTCTTGGTATTTTTAACCTAGCCTTGTTTAAAGATATTCTCCAATTGATCGAGATAGGCACGTCTCGAGGTCTACCTCTCCCCAACATTTGCATCCGTATTCGCTCAACAAATTAGTGCCGTCTATATACTAACGTTCATCCTTTCTACGTGACCAAATCACTGAAGCATTCCCTTTCGAAACCTGGTAGGCTCTCGGGTTTCTCTCAGAGAAAAGTTTAAGGAGACTGGTATTATGACTGTGGCATCACAGTACATTTACTCAAATATTTTATATGCCCGTAAAATTATACATCATTTCAATAAGAAAGAAGATATTCATAACATTAACCTTAGAGCTAAGCCCAAACTCATGGTACCACACAATTTCGTTTAACCAAGGTAAACGACTCTTTTATGGGGAACTGTATACGTTTTTACAATAAGATTCTGGAGCATATATTAAGATTATCATTTCTTTAGTTTTAAAACTACAATAAAAATATTTTGATTGAAAAGCCATATTACAAAATCGAAGACTATGTGTTAGATAAAGATGTATAGAAAGACAACACGGCTCCAGAATCCACACAAATTTGATTCAAAGTGTATTCCATAGCATTCAAGTTTATTTGAAAAGAGCAATCCCTAGAGTTTCTTGCTCGTTCTTCTCAGGGAAATCAGCGTAGTGAACAAGTAGTAGCTTAATGTCATGTAATGTAAATGTGACGTTTTCAAGCGTAAATTTATTATACCTATGGAATAAATGATCTTTGACTTTGACCTGATCATTACATCATCTTTCGCACACCAAAGCTCTCGTACTACACTGTTTCAAACTTTTGTTTATGATACTAAGTGATGGGACGACCAAGCCATGCGCCTGGCGGGAAGCGACACGCCTGTCCATAGCAGTTGCAGTGCCACTCAGAACTTTAAATTGCAAAGATCTGAGACACTGTCACTGCGCCTGTCACCGACATGTTGAAAAAATCTCATGTAAGCATTACTCATTGGCGGCGGAAATAGGTAAGGTGAATCACATACAATTATGGGACCATTTCAGGGCATATAATTAATTATCAACCTTTAGAAGACCTCCAATCGTCGATAAATCGGTCAAATTGGATATTTTCCCATATTTGTTATTATACTAGTATAACCAATGCGACCGATTACCAAACCGTGCGAATAGGAAGCCATACTGACCAATGGAAGACAAATAAAATGGCAATCACGAGTAGGCCCAATATCATAGGTGCTAAAATAGTGAAAAGCAAATACTTTATTAGTAAATATAAACTCTACAATCTACGCCGAGCTTATCTACTCATATTATATCTAGACCCATTACCATTCCTTACCGGATTATATTCCTGTAATAAAAAAAAATCGAATGTTACTGAACGTCAACCGCCTTCATGAAAATATGGAAAAATCAATAAAATTGACAATATATAAGTCCGAATTGTGCGACAAACCAAAACAAACATCGAAATGGGTGCGTTTTTCTGTACATTTAGGATTTCAAAATGTATTAATAGATAGAGTTATAGTTAAACACAAGCAGACCTAAGTTATTGAATAAAAGTAACAACTGCAGTAACAACTCCATTGACAGTGTCTAAAAAAATTTGATTTTATTAAGTAAATCAAGAAATAAAAATACACGAATTCCAATTCAATTTGCAAAATAAATTATTTAAGGAATTTGTACTTGCAGAGCGGGAAAAAATTTTATTCAAGTAATATTTTTTCTTATTTTGTAATTTGGTTAGGCGTTTTGTGATCCAGGTTTTTACTAAACCATTCGCCAACGACACGGCACAGTGGGAATTCGACGTTTTCTTGATAATATGGTCAACTTAGGAACGAGAACTATAGATCAGGTAACGTTATGTACTAATACGTCAAAGTTGTAGGTCTACTTTGATTTATGTACGATAAGAGCACTTTAGTTAATAAAATATTCAATTTAAAATCCTGGAAATATGCAAACTACCGATACGGACCCGAACTAATCGAATAAAAGCCCCGGTAAATATTATTGTTTCAACTTACCGTGCCGTTCAAATGAACAGTGCCTTTCTAATAGTATCGTAAGTATGCATTAATACCATAACTTATATTATTTATGAATTACACAGTTTAACTTACATAATGGAGGTAGGTACATAGTATTGTGTTGTGCATTAAAATATTATATACATGGGTAGTAAATTATTATTTACGGTTCTTATCAGCTCCTGCATATAGGCACAAAGTTTCACGCTCATTACACTTTTAGTACGCCGCTATTAATCACAAAAAGCGTCGTGTACCACAGTATTGATTATTATGTAAAATTATAAGGTAAAAGAGAGACTATAAAATACCTACCTACACACACAAATATTATAGGGGACAAGCTATAAAAGTCGGCACGTATTTAATGTATTTCACAATACTAAAGCGAAAACTGAATTAACAGGCAGTAAAATAACTAGTCTACTTTCCACTGTTGATAAGAGCTGTACACTCAGAAACGGTCACGGTTCTGATAAGTCTTGGTGGTCTCTTTGGGCGATCTGAGTGTTTTATATTTATTTCGTTACCCCAAAGGGCGAGCTAATACGCACGCAAATGTCATTGACCTACCCAGTCAAAGATGTCACACACCCTTTTTTTTTTACTGTATTTTTAAGACCAAACTGCAACGTATTACTACCCCTTAAATCGTAGCATACGTTCAATGTCATTTGTAAATTTGTAATTTTATTTAGACATAAAATAAAGGCGCCATTTAAAAAAAAAGACACGTACATTTGGACTAAATTGTCAAAGAATTTTTTTTTGAAGTATTTTTATTATCCATGACATTAATACATTAATGTCAAAAGGGAAAATTAGCGCTACCCAGAGTCCACAAGTAACCTGTGAGCCTCCTCAGTCTCTATAAGAGGACAGAATTAAAATTTGAACACTTACGAGCTCTTCTTTAATTTCACTGTCGTTGTCCTTGTCGGAGTCCGGATGCACCGGCGGCGCGTATGAACAGTGGAAAACCACAAGAAGACACAACAAACTTGTGAACAACTTCATATTCATCCTGTTACAAAATTTACAACAAAATTAATAAAGTAAAAAACACACAACTATCAAGCCTAACTATACTTCGAAATAAGCTTCTGCCATAATGAGAGTTGATGTAACCCATTAAGTTCTTAAAAGTTTCTTAAAAGTAATCTAAGGGGCTATAATTTATAGTATACTTACTAATTAGACAATACCGAAATAAGTATAAGATCAAAATTCGATTAATGTAATAAATATTTTAAAATATTAACGTTTGAAATTGTTTACAACAATACGTATTCTGCATTCTTAAATTAGTGATAAACAAAAGCTTATCTCATATTTACAGCAAAATATAACATTAATAATATATACAAAATGTAATCAACACTTAAAAAATATAAATAAGGTATACAAATATACACACCAGCATATTTAGCGGAATACTAGTTATATCCCCAAAATAATGCAGTGTTTTTTCGAAAGTCTGGCTGGCACTTTTTTATTTTCGGTCTAATTTGACTTTCAAGTGTCAAACTTTCGTTGAAAAATCTTTTCTAAACACATTATAAATTTTGATGTAATCAATGTTAAACTATAACAGTTTTCAATCTTTCTGCTTTGTCACAAGATGTAAAAGAAAATGCATTTTGTTTAATTTAATTTTTTTACAATAAAGTCTGTACTAAGTCGATGTCGTGATGAGTATATATTTAAATATAAACATTACTATATTCTCACTTTTTTTGTTCCTCTAAATGTGCCAGTGGTAGTCAATATATACATATTATAAAACTACCATTACTTTGAAAATATGTGTGTAACTTCTAAATAAAAAACCACTTATAAAAGACCCTACATGAATGTTGCACCTTTATAAAGGTAACCGATAAACGGGTTATAACCCGATGTTGCGCCTCTATAAAGATAATCGATAAACGGGTTATAACCCGTTTATCGGCCTCTGGCCTTCATGTAATATCAACAAGGTATATACAGGAGTAGATCACAGGCACATTGTTTACAAAAATGTTTTTTATTCTCCACAAATTTTTGTCTTCGTTCACATTTAGGGGAAAATTGACTATGAGCAAATTTTCAAGGATGTCAGTTAAAACCGTTTGGGTGCAATTCATTCAAACTTTCAGATTAACTATATTACATATTATCCTTCCAGTTCTCTGCGTGCAAGGAAGCGGAGGTCGTATTCCACATGATAAGGGTACACTAGCACCAACTCGTGTCGGAGGCCGGCCAAGACCCACTTCGAGTCGCTGAGCCAGCGGAGTAAATGAAAAGTCATCTAATATGAAAAGAATACAAGGAATACCTTACCATGAACTCTTATTACGATTCAGGTTAGGACCTAAAATAAATCGTTGTGAGACAACACTACATGAAGTGTATTTCACCATCCCGCTTTTTTGTCGTTAAGAACTTATACTGAACTGTAATAAGAGTTCATGGTAATGCCCCCGCTTTCTTGTTTATTATTTAGACCGAAAAGTAGGTAGCACATTTGTTGAATCACAAGTACTACTAGTACTAAAAATTTGCTTACAAAAATTGTGATGTAATCTTTAAGTTACAGAAATTACACGCACGCACACACGCACACACGCACGCACACATGCACGTACACACTTAACATAGCTCCGCACTAGGAAAACACATAGACAACCACAAATTACACCCAAACTCACGAGGCCATAAAGCAATAAATGTAGGCCATACAAATATTTCTTCCGAACCAGGAATCGAACCTGGGACCTCTGCGTCGCAGTCACATAGTAACCGTTTGGCCACAGAGGCAGTTTCACTTTTGAATACCCTTACAATGCTTCATTTTATATCTCTGTTATATTAACCACTTATATTAGATAACTGAGTAGGTAATTTTTCACTACTTTTGGGAATCTATAGTTCACTGAAGCTTGAAAAGTAGATGTAACAGTATTAATGAAATTTAAAAGCGATCAACATAATAACAAATTGTAATGATTTACGACTATAATAAAGGCTTATATTACTTATTTGAAACATTTATGGTAACCAAACAGTATAATAGTAATTTAATTATCATAAATATTCAAACAACTACATTTGAAAACATTGTAACATTGGTACATAAACAAGTTCATTTTGTGCATGTGCTGAGGTCAATGATGTGCTGTGTAAATTTATTTAAAAAAAAAACAATTTGTTTCTGTAATAGCCTATGTAGGTTCTCTGTCATTGTAGATTTGTAGATTCTCCTCTCAGTGAATTCTGGTCAAAATTAACCAGAAAATTTTTGAGTAAAAGAGGCTGTATTCCTCAACTTGACATTGGTGAAATCATTGATTGCTTCGATGGAGTCATAACATTTAAAAGAAGAAGAAGACATTGCTGCTTTAAAGTGTAGTACTGGATAATTATTTTTTACTGAACTTTATAAGTTAGTGTTTACCTAGGGTTTTATCTCGACTTTAAAATTTTGTAGAAATATTGAAAACTGAAGCTACAGAACATTTCTAAAAACAATTCCATCATTTTTATAAAATGAAATTAATGCACTTGCCTACTTACTACTCAACCATGAATTATACTCTAAATTTGGATCTAACTTCTTTCTTTTTTTCCACCTTTCTTGTTTCGGACCAACAAGCTCTATAAATTATGGAAGGTTCTTACAGTATGTCAGCTCTTTATTCTTTCCGTGATACTCAGAAAACACTCCCAAAGTCCTTACGAGCTTTCAATCTTGACTACAAGACAAAGAAAAGGAACAGTGTGACCCTACACACCATTCTACACTAGTTTGTCTAACAAACATTTCCGTTCCTGGGAAATTACCTTAATAATAAGTTAAATGCTTCCCTGACAATATGCCCTCCCAAAAAATTCTTGCAAAAAAAGGTCACTCTACAGTTACTAATACAGTCTTATTAAAACCTCTCTCGTAAACTGTGCATGAAACATTTACTGGGTTATTTGTAAAATACTAACAACCTTACAGGACTGTATTACTAACATCATAAACAACAACTTTTGTACCATGACTTTTAATAATTCATCAGATTTTGCTTTCATACAAAAATATATACATTTAAATAAATACTTCTATATGGTAATTAAGTTACTCTGTTTAGAACGAGAGTGGGAGAGACGGAAGATTCTTAAATGTGTTGGAACATACCTCACCACCGAATACAGATAAAAAAAGTGTCAAATAGTACAATAAAAATTTAAAATATTATTGTTGGTAGATTTATTACGTTTTGTGAAAAGTCCTGGAACAAAAATTTAAGTTTATGATGTTAGTATCTTAAAAATAACCCTCCACAATGACTCCCACTCTTGTTATGCGCAGAGTTATTACCATTTAGAGTGATCTATTTAAATATATTCATTTTTGTATGAAATTAAAATCTGATATATCGTTACTTTACTTTGTCAAACTCATATCTTATAAAGAGTGAGTATTCACAAGATGGCAAAACATTCTATTTATTTTAAATTTCTTATCAAGGGGGTTAATTTGGATCAGTACTTTAAGTATAGGTAAAAACCAGTGTGTGAATGTCAAGGAAATGTGGTGTGAAATCAGCCTGCAAAATTTACATATGCAATCCATTTTTTGCATTTAAGTAACTGTATGCTTTAAGATACAAGTTTGAGAAAGTAAGGCGACGATATGGTGTTAGTAATGTAGTATTGCGAGGTTGCTAGCATTTTATAAAACCCTGTATACTTGCCACTTACACACCAGGTTACACAATCTTTACACTCTCATATCATTATCACACACCATACATAAATTCACACATAAATCTTTAAGATTAAAAAGTATATTAAATTTATATATATAATAATAAAATTTTAAAATAAGTATTAAAATAACAGCTAATAAAACAGTTTTTCTTGTTCCAGGGGAAGAGTTTGGTGACATATAACACAGGCTTTTCAAACCTACCACAGGCACCAGTCATTCACTTAAGTAGTTTGATATCACAAAATTGTCTTATATCCCATTGATTTAATTAGCTCTTAGGCTGCCTTTGTGTGTGAAAATAAATATATATTATAATTATTATACTTCCTAAGTAATTCACGTCATTGCTTAATGACGTGAATTGCTTAGGAAGTTAATAGGTTTATACATTATATAGTACTTAGCAAGTATTATTGCCACATAATATTGGATAACTTTTTACGTATTTTTTGATGAAACATCCAGTCCAAACGATAATGATCAAATTTCATACATTACATTGTATTTTAAGACAGAATATTCAAGGATTACAAATTGAATATCTCGTCCGAAGTAGAAATGACTTTAGGCAGGAAACTGATATTAATACACTGCGTGCCTCAGTTTTCCCATAAGGGAAATCTTAGGCAAACGTGGCCAATATATATTTTCTTGTTTTCAATGGTACTTAAAAACGACAAGAATATAAAATACATTGTCAAAATCGATACTCGGAGAACAACGTAGTGCTGCTCAAACAGAAAGTTTGCTGACAAAAGTCCAAAGAACTTAGCAATCCACATTGTACTGAATAATTATAAGAAATCTTGGGTTACTTACTTGTATTCACAGTTATTTGAAGAGTAACAGCATAAATAAAAATTCGAAAATAAAAGGAGATTTCGTCACATTTGTTGAAATGAAATTGAAAACAGCGTTTGACTTCAGTTCAGACTTGACGTTGACGTGTCCCTCCCCTCCCCACCACGTAAGTACAAAAGTCGTTTATGGCTTCTCGCGAGTGTAATTTAGCCAATTTGCATTTTTTTAACGTACCTGTATCATATTTAGATGATATTGATACGATATTGACGAACCCATTAATAAAGTAGCGAATATTAATTCTTATAAAGATAACTTAAAGGCTGTTGCAATTTTAATAAAAAAAGTACACAAACTGATGAAAAACACCATATATTTTAAGGGTGCAAAGTATCCGATCTTCGTTCGTTATTCCACGTTGGGTTTAATAATTATAATCCGGCTCGTGGCATCCTCCAAATCTCCATTCGACTGAACAATATGATCCCACCGGTGTTTGCATATCCCGAAGCAATTATAGTCGTTAATATTCGGAATAGCCTTCAGTGCACTCGTTGCATTTTTGAAATCTCTCTGTGTCGTCAAACCGGCGTTAAAAGGTTACGTCGGGGATTTAATGTGGTTGGCGAAGTTGTATAATCTTATGTTTTGCCAAAAACGTTAGACAAGGTTCGATGATGGCGCTAGCGCGTTATCATGGTGAAAAAGCCGAGCAATCGCCACTCTATCAGTAACTTTAAATAAATTATTCGAAAAGATTATGTTGATTCAAAGGTTATGTTGATAGATCGACTAGCGATGTGGCGGTAACGCTACTAAAACATATATTTGATGCTTGGGCGAGGTCCCAGAACGCTATTGGGGTTTACAGTGACCTCTCAAAGGCAAAAATGCCTTTGAGATTTTATTGTATGGACCGCATTACTCCTGTTAAGAAGCGAGAATATTACGCAGTGAATTTGTTGTATTGAAACTTGTCATATCTTAAGGTAAAATGCAGAAAGTAGACATAAATGGAACATAAGTAGACATAAGGAACAGTTTCCTTGTGGTGGCATCTCATGAGTCAATGACTCATGAGATACCACCATCACAGTACATTTACTCAAATATTTTGTATGTTCGCAAAATTATACATAATATTCATGAACAAAGAAGATATCCATAATATTAACCTTAAATATATTAATTATTATAGAACTAAGTCCAAACTCATACATTTCGTTTAACTGACCTAAATTCTATGAAAAAGATTTTTTAATGGGAAAATGTATTAGTTTATATTAAAATAAGATTCCGGAGCATATATTATGGTTACCATTTTCTATTATGGTTATATATTATGGTTACCATTTTCTATTGAAAAGTTACATGATAAAATTGAAGAGTATTTGTTAGATAAAGATATATGGAAAGAAAACATTAATCTAGATTCCACACAATTATGATTCAAAGAGTATTCCATAGCATTTAACTTTATTTGAAAAGAGCAATCCCTAGGGTCTCTTGCTCGTTTTTCTATTAGCGTAGTGAACGAGCAGTAGCTAAAATAACGTTTTCAAATGTACTACAAATATTACCTATGGAATTATAATTGTAAGTCAATGTATGGAATAAATGATTATTTGACTTTGATTTGCCCAAAAACGCAGCCGTTTTCTTCGCACTTTTTTAGAACTTCATCGAAAAATTTTGATTGTCTGACCTCTTGGAGCATATTCACGGTGCATCAAGTTCCCAAGACTAATAATTCCGCTCAAAGGGCGATGGTAAGACACAGAGACGATTTTTTTTGTAGTTACAGTTTTTACATAAATTCATTTTTAGTTTACACTACGTTTTGAATTTCTTCATTACTTGCTACTTTTTAAACTGATGGCTCTATGGCTAATGTATAATCTTTTCCTTTCCGAGATTTAATTATAAAACAGGAAGTCATGTTGATAAGTGCTTAACCGTAACAAAACACTACTGCATCTGTGTCTGTCAATAAACGCATTGATCTAGTTGGAAACGCGAATATAATATTCTAAATAAATGCATTTTTTAAAACCTACCCTCAAATTTTAAAAGTACTGCATAGATTATCGGCAATAATGTAATATATTAATATAAAATTTCAGGAATTCAATTGATTAAAAAGGAATCAATTAAGCTTAAGTTTTAAAGTTGATTTTAAAACAGGACGCAAATATTTTAAAACAGTCCTGAAAACCTAAGAAATGCTCACCGGAAAATTTGTCCAAAATGGCGCTTTCGCCCTTTCTACAAAACATCTACGATATTGGCTTGTTTAAGACAAACGATATTGACTTGTTTTTTGTTACAATTTATATAACTAATAAAATAATTTTTCGATTGTATAATTTTGTTTTTTTTTAGTCTAATAAACAATCATACTTTTTTACATTTAACGTATTTAACATAAAGTAAGTTCTGACATCTCAACATTTTCAAAAAAATATCGAATAAACCTTTCGGACCAGCTCCGAAACTCCTTGGAATTTCTCCGAAAAAAACTTATATTGATTTTTTTTTTTTAATTTATTAAGGCTTTGGCAAAGCCATCAGCCTAAACATGAAGTTTAAATATGTTTCTGTAAATATGGCTGCCACAAAGAGGATAGGCAATTTGAGGCGGCGTGTTTGGATTGACTCGGGATTCCTTAAAACGGGCCGATACGGGTATTTTATTTCGAGATTCGTATAATTTCGCGTTTTAATCTTCGATTAAGGCACAATAGCACTATCCTATTCCACTTTAAACTAGATTTCACAAAATAATTGAAAGTCAAAATAAAAACGACACTTTTCCCTCCAAAAGGTCCAGAGCGAATCACTTATATTGACCTGTAGGTGACGAATCTGAAGTCAATTTTTCATTTTCCGGCCGCCATCTTCGAAAATGTTGCCACGCTTGTGCGTGGCAACATTTCGTCCAAGTTAGTTTTAAGTTTGGTCGAAGTTAATACAATTGTTTGTATTAACTTCGACCTTTTATAACAGGCGCACGGTGTAGGAATACGATTGTATTTAGGTGGACCTTTAATATATATTTTAGTGAAGTATAACAACAATAATTTTATTACAATTATTATTTATTTGGTAAATAAAATCTTAAACATTTCTTACATGCAAAATCAACAAAACATTCTTAAAATGTACCTATTTTAATAGTACTTTTTATCGTAATAAGTCTCATCGTGTCGTCCGGTGTAAAATAATACTCAAAATACGGAGCGGGTGTTCCTATCAAATTTACATTAGGGAAAGAATCCGCTGGCATTGGCGCTTCCTCTTCTCCCATATCGGTGCGTATTTAGAGATACGTCATCAACAGACTCGTCTTCCCGACATCTCAGCATCCCGACGTTCCTGGGATATTTTGTTTCAGGAGTCGGAATCGTCTTCATATCTGCCCTCATTATCGGACCCGCATAACAAACTTCAATTTTTTAATTTAACAATTTACGTGTTTATGCGGTAATGTACTGAAAAACCCGAAACAAGCGTGAAAAAAGAAAGCACAAAAGTTGTTCTTTTCAGGAAAGTAGGCACAGTGAACGAGGGTGGCGTAAAAATGACGTTTTAATAAATGAAGTGTAAATTTATTTTATCTGTGAAATATTTGATTTTTTTATTTGTTTGACTTTATTTGTAAGTCAATGGTTTGATTTTATGTTATTAAACGTCGTCCCTTACTTCTCGTTTCCTTGCTTACCTCATCTTGAAAGTATTTGGTAATGTATTACCACATTATATTGTCCTCTGTCCGCCGCTTAAACTATTTTTTTTCCATCCTCTAAGGTCCGCCGCCACCGCTGCTTTAGCTTAATAAAAAATATTGGCACAAATATATTAGCGTGCAGCCAAAAAATTAAAAAGAACACCAAAAATCAATAAAGTTAAACGTCAGCCATTTTGTCAGATTTCTCCATTGTTTGTGATTGTTTTTAATTTAATATCAATTTTCGCGCGGATTATCACTTCACACAGAAAAGCTTGCCTTTTTGTTATTCAACTACATAAAAGTAAAGATGAATCGTGAAAAAAGGGAACCTGAATACCCAGCAGAGCTGGAATCACAGTTTATTTTGAAACTACCCGAAGAACCCGCAAAAGCACTAAGAGACATCGTAAAATCTGGCGAGAACTTGAAAAATCGCTTGATGATACAAATCGACGATGATATGCGAAATGGCCAGGTTCGATTGGATAATTGGCTTATGCACGCCAAGATAGTCGACTTGCCAACTGTTATAGAATCATTAAAAACAATCGATAACAAAAGTTTCTACAAAACAGCTGATATATGCCAGATGATGGTATGTAAGACCGAGCCCGATCAAGCGCCAGCTGAAGAAGAATCACCGTCAAAGAATAAGAAAAAGGATCCAAATAAAGTTGACAAAAAATATCTTTATCCCCATGGCATCACTCCTCCAACAAAAAATGCTAGGAAACGGCGTTTTCGAAAAACTTTGAAGAAGAAATGTGCAGAAGCACCTGAGATTGAAAAAGAAGTGAAGAGACTTCTAAGGGCTGATAATGAAGCAGTCAGTGTGACTTGGGAGGTTGTTGAAGAAGAGGATGAGCACAATATTACAAATGAGCAACCAGCGGCCACTCCTGTGCCTCCCAAGCCTGATAAGAAAACTAAATCAGATAAAACCAAACGAGATGTTGTACGAGATGCTGTACCCGGCACAAGCAAAGCTGCAGATGAATCTTCTAATGTGGTTGATATTTTTGGTGGAGCAGTCAGTGATAGTGAGGAAGAAGATAATGTCAATGCAAAAAATGTCCAGTTGCATAACACCCCATTTACTGTTTATGACAGCCACTTAGATGAGATTAGTACCATGAATGAACTTAATGCCTTGCACTTGCACAGCAAAATAGAAGGCCAGTTAGACAATCTTCCTATCGAGTTTGCCTCAGACATATTTGACTCTCCTTTACCACTTACTTCTGCAACTCAAAGTCGTGCTGAAACTCCAGTTGCTTCGGGTATGTACAAGCCTAGTGCACGTTCATCTGAAGAAGATGCTGAATATATTCCAGAACGTCCAAGAGAGAACATGACTGAAAGGATTGAACAACTGAAAGCTGAGGTAGAGGAGTTGAAGCAGCGAAGACTGAGAACTCGACATGAGATATCTGGCATAGAAAATATGGCTCTTAGGCAACGATTCGAAGATATTATACACACATTAAATCAAGATATCATGTACAAGGAAATGGAATATCAAGGACTACTAACCCTGCAAAATTCTGATGTTATTTAAGTGTCTAACATTTCCTATATATTATGTTATTTATAATCTGCTCAATGAAAAATTTTTCTGACATTGTATCTAGCATCTTTCCATAGTTGTTGATGTTATTTAAAAACATATTTAATCCGAGGAACTTATATGCACCTCGTTATGTTCATTAGTGAGTATTAAAGTTTCAATGTACTGATAGAAACATTTTGAAATTTCAATTCAATAATGCCTAGGAGAATAAGTGTGGTTTTATGTATTTACTGTATGTAAGTCATTCTATATACCTACCTTATTGAGACATGTTGTATTTAGATTTTTTTTAAGTAGTATAGTCATTTTCTATTCTGTTTTGTTTCATACTATAAGTTTATACTTATTATTATTATTGTTTTAGACTGTAAGATTGACTTTTCATTAATGTAATTGATGTTGTATCTTTATTCGGAAATAAAAATCATTATATGTGGAAAAATTGGAACGTTTAAAAAGGTATTTCTGATGTAAAATTGTAATCCTATAAAGACAACGCAAGACTTTATGGCTTTCTGTAGCTACTGTCTGAGAATTAAGTGTCTTATGGACTTCTTGGCTGTGAAATGTGCAATGACATCTTCTTTGTCAAAAGATTACAATTTACACTTGAAATAAAAAAAAATCAAGAATTATAGGATTCCTTTTTATAATAGGTATCTTCTTCTGTGAAATGTTATGGCGTCATCGATGTAATCGATGTTTTCGCCAATGTCGAGTGGAGGAACGCACACATTTTAACTTAAAAATTGACCGGTAAATTTCGACAGAATTCACTGAGAGAAGAATGTACAAAGATAGAGAACCTACACAGACTATTACAATATCAAGGATTCAGGAAACTAATATGAAAGAAAAATGTGTCAGAAGGTAATAACGCACACACTCAACATATTCCCGCATTAGGGAAACATTGTGTCGCGGGTGCCATGGACACACACATAGACAACCACAAATGACACCCAAACTCACGAGTGAAATAAATGTAGGCCTTACAAATATTTCTTCTAGCCCGGGAATCGAACCTGGGACCTCTGCTTGGCAGTCTGGCATGGTCATCGTTAGGCCATGGAGGCAGTTTAATAATTAAAAGGTGATAATAATAGTTAATCAACAAAAGGAAAACAATTGTAATTGTTAGTATATGCTAACATAATCGTAAATACATTATTATAATATTAAAAGGCTTTCATAAGTATAAAATTATATTGGATCATTAGATGAAAATAGGACCTAATGGATTTTGGTAGAGATTTATGTATAGGTCATGCTAGGAAAAGGTTTTAGAAAAGTAAGTGTGGGGGCGGATTATGAGAAAAAAACGCCTGGTTGTAAATTGAGC